CCGCCTGTGTAAGTTATATGCAACAACACAATCTGTTGAACCTGTAGCCAGCCAGCTGCTCATATTAATCAAACAGCCCACTTCCCTTTATGACACAAAGCAAATAGTCATAAATGCTCTTATCAGCCTTTCTAATAGTGTGGACGTTACAATCAGATTCATGGTGGCATAAACTATTACATTTCATCTTTATCATATTGAACAATCACTTCTTTTTCATGAGGATCGTTTATAACCGCCGGACAGCTTGTTGCGTAATGAAATTCAAAGCAGTCTATCTGCTCGAGGGATCTCACACTCTGTTTACTTATATTTACATATATTTATGTGGATTTTGTTTCTCCACAACAGGCAAACAGGCATGATGAATGTATGGCTGTGGTCCCACAGGGACATGTGGCTCCCTGCAGAACTGATCTGTGGTCAGGCAACTTCCAGCTTTACTGTAAAGTGTGGAGAGCCTCAGTCTGTGCAACGTTTTATTACAGTGGAGCCTCTTCATCATCTCGGCATGTTGTACTGACAAATAAAGACTTTTTCTTTCTTTTTCTTCGGAGTAATGCAAGGATGACTGTCTTTGCAAAATATAGTCATATATACATACATACATACATAAATAACCATTGTCAAGCCATGCAGATGCTTTGGTCACAGTATACTGAAAATAAAATATATGCAAATTCTCTTTTATTTCCATATTCACAGCCCAAACGTCCAAAGTCTGACAAATGTTTCAGTCAAAAAGGAAATTTAAACAACAGCTGTATGGTCAGATGTCAGTAAACAGTTAATTGTTTAGGTGAAAGGCACTGCAGCATTCTTCACAATCAAATGTGAGGGAAATGTTCAGACCTCTGCTTTGTATACTCCCCCTTTAATTTGGAACACTTTGATTAATCAATTAATATTCCTTTCTCAAGGTCTTTTTATAAACCTCATCATTAATAAAAGCAGACATTCAATTAGCAGCCAAATCTTGATTGCCAATTTTGTCATAACAGTCTCCCTTTCTATGCTTTTCTTTTTCTTTTTCTTTTTTTTTTTTTGGTTCGTTATAGTTGGGAGTATGGTGTGGGTTGGAAGAATTAACTAATTTCATTAATCTAATTGTCATCGCTTTCAACCATCCCACTAATAAGTACAAATTAATATGATTAATCAATTTGACGACATAAACTCATTCAATTACAGTTTTTCAAAGGCAAGTGGGTGTGTTGGGGTGATAGGGAGGTGCGGCGAGTGAAGGGAGGTGGGCGGCCGAGCAGCTTGCTCTGTGAGGAACCCAGCCCACAAAATTGAAGTCAAGTCAGGCAATTAGTCATTGTGAATGATAAATAAATGGTGATGAATTGTGGAGGGCAGATACCCCACTAACTACAGTTTTATTTGATTCAGTGAAATCAGGTCCCTTTTTATATAGAAACTTACCGGAACACCATAGACTATTGGCTGTATTTTACAACACTGACTGTGTCCATATTATTTTACTCCAAATTTGCATTTAGTATCAGGACAAACAAACTTTCTTTTTAGATATAATTTAACGCAGAACTGTCACAGATAACAACTGAGACACCTTTTCTAGATTATGTTCTTTCTTCCCTTGTTTTCTGAGCCACCATTGGAGTTAGACATGAACTTCTCACTAAGAGCTATAATAAACTGTAAATTACGTTTAAACAGTGTTGCTATGCTGTATTTGCAGATATGTATTTCAAATGTTCTTTCCTCTTTAATATGGAGATCACTGCTATAAATGTATTATGTGTATATTGTTGTTGTAGAAAGGTTGTTGCCAATGTACTCCAAAAAGAAAATGTGATGTGCATAAAACACAACATTTATTACTTTGAGTGGGCGCTATGACTAATAATTTCTATCACAGTATATGCAATTGAATTTGTGATATAGATATTTTTATAATGTAATTTTGTTTGGAAAATCTATTTATAAACAGTAAAATAATAATAGATTATCAACTATATAATCCATTTAATTCATCTGATTGATGCACAAATCTATTATTTTTTTATTTTTTTTTGCAAATTAGCCCTTATCCCCAGCATATGGAAAAATATATTTTTTATTTTTTTTCTGTTATTTTGTCCCACACTAAACATTAAATCATACAATATGTTGCCATATAGCTCCCTAATTTGATGAGCCTTTTTCATAACATTAACTATGACTCTTCTATTCGAGGGTCCCAGTACATCGTGACAGTGGGACAGTGAGCCAACATGCACAATACCAGGACCCTGAAACTGAAGCAGCTAAATGGAATTCAGCCATCATTAATTTTATTCTTTACAACTACTGAAAGATGTCATGATGTGAAAAGAGCTTTTTATAAAGAGGACTGAGGATTATATCATAACAAACACTTTTGACCACATAACCAGTGTTTACAAGGTCACTGATTTAGGTGATTTTCTCTTTGTGTTCCTCATTGTCCAAATTCAAATTAGGCTCCTAACTAGGATTCAGATAGTTTGAACCGCTGTAGATTAAGGAGTCTGGAGCATATTTACTTGGAGCAGCTGCTGGGATTTTATTTGTATATTTCAGATCTAGTATGCTGAGGGGAAGATGTGCTGGCGCAGCACTTTGGGTGATGCCCTTTAATGCGCTCTATCTTATCAGCCCAGCATCACTCCTATTCAAACCAGTGTCTGATTGAGCAGTGTGATGTTGTTTGGGTCTTACATTGGGAATAGTTTATAGAAGCACCGTCTCTAATTTGTGAAGTGAGGTATTATAGAGGAGACAATTAGACCAAGGTTCGATTGGCGTATAGAGGCTTGGATGCTGACAGTCAAGAGAAGGCTTTCAAATGTCATACCAATTAATCTATCCAGCCATCAAACAATATTCTGGAAACAAAGTCAGGGGGGGCGATCAATCCGCATCACTTTTCTCCTCACCGGGTTATGGGAAAATTGATTTGTCAAACAAAGCATTTTGGAAGCAGTGCATGGACTTGTTCGGGATCCATTAGCCTCCATTGAGCATTTTGTTTAACATAGGATTTTCATCACAGAGAAAATGCAGTGTCCTCAATACTGTGAGCTACAACTTTACGATTTCTGATTTCTTTGTTCTTGCTTAGAAAGCTTTAGAAAGTGCTGATGGCGATTGAAAAGGGCTGACTTCTAATGCATTTGAAAATATTAGGCTGTTGTTTTCCCTCATATATTCATCAAAACGGTCAAGAAACGCTTTTGAATGGTATTAATACGCTACACAAAAGAACAGTATAATCACTCCCCTTTCATCCAAAAAGCATCAGGCATTAGTCCCCAGTATCAGTATTATTGTACACTGTGGGGCTATCCTGCCATCCTATACAGCATGGCTGTCCTAAGCTGTATCATGAATTCCCTGTGCAGTGTATTGTTCTAAGATAGAACTGTATCACATTGTGCCCGTCATGCTGTTTTAGAGGGGAGAGAGCTTCCTCTATGGGATTTCTCCCAGCCCCATCCCCTGATAATGTATCTCTCCCTAAAGGCTAGGCCTCCGTGACCTTGTCTTATTCATCGAGGGCGTCTTAAGCGAAAGAACTGAATCCTGAATGGGCCATTTCCCCTCTTTTAACACCCCTTTAATGTCATCAGTGAAATATGAAGTCATTAGGCGATATTAAAACACTGCTGACAAACTAATTAACGGGAGACATTAAACAGGACGGGCTTGATTAATCCGCTTTAACGATTCTTTTTAAGTGGTTCTGGTCAAAATTAATACAGATTTACTGGTGATCTTAAGAAAAAAATAGTCTTATGTGTATCAGACCTCAAGGGCAACCTAAAGTCACTGGTCTTTTACCCCCTCCCACCCTACCCTCTCTGTTTCTAAACACTTTCTGAACTCACACAGTTGGTTCCTGAGTCTCTGACAACAAACTACGTGCTGTACGGACACACAGGCTGATGCTTTAGGCCTCTCCTCAAAGATTTAGCTATTTTGATTTATTGTTTCATATGGAATCTATTCAGAATAATAAAAGAGTGGTCATATTGTTTAAATCATTTTGTATTACTTCAATTAGCAACCAAAAAAGAATTACATGAGATATGAAATATTTTTAGAGCTGTAAATTACTGACTTAATAATTCAAATTATTATTATCTTTATTTTTATTATTATAATTAATATTGTTGTTGTTGTTGTTGTTGTTGTTGTCACAGGCACAGGCCGTAACTGATTTATTTTTTACTTTTTTTTTTTTTAAGTAGCAGTAGTAGAGTAGAAATGTCTTTGTAAATGTCTCCCTCTTGTGGTAAAAGCACAGATCCAGGGTCAGCTGCTCAGTTTCTTTGACAGACAAAACAGCGAATAGTCAGAAATCAACTCTGACCATGTTCTTTTACTTTATTTTAAGCCCTTCTGTATTGCATTTTCACATTATACTTTTTATTTTATTTTTTGTATGCATTAATTATCACAATATATTCATTAGTAAAATCCACGTCTGACCCGAGACCTTTCTTTTTTAATACTTTATTGGACAACGATTGAGCTTTGGCATTAGACTATGCAGAAAACGTGGATTTTAAAGGGAACTACTACTATACTACTATTACTAATCATTAATAATAATAATAATAATAATAATAATAATAATAATAATAATAATAATATGAAGAGGAAGAAAAGAGGAATGCTATACGAACCAATGCTCCCCCAAAAAACTTTAAAAATCAAAATATCTATTTCTCCATTTCACCATAGAATAAATGTTAAACAATATAATCACAATTCAATCTTACAGAGGGAAAAACAAAAGGAAAGTTCATATACTTGTTTTTTTGTGTAATTAAATAAAAAGTGTAACAAATACGTAAAGCCTTGAATTAAAAAAAGTAAACATTGGTTTTGTTTTTTAAAAAAAAATGCATTTGTGAATTCAAGTTTTTCATAATAAAATGTATTTTATTATTCCATAGCATAAAATAATAATATTAACGCTACCGGAAGCGGCCACTGATGACACGTGACGTATTTCCGCTATCGGAGCGTGCCTTGACGTGAGGCAGAAGCCGCTCAACGATATCACTGTTTCTAAACGTTTTTGTAACATGCTTTCACAAGGCTGAACTTGCACATTTGTTTCGCTAACGGAGAGCTGTTTCTCACTACAGGTGTGAGCTTTATAATCTGTGTTTAATGCGGCCTGGCCCGGTCAGGAAATGGCTGTGTAACATTAGCTATCGGTCAGCTTTAGCTGTTAGCTTAGCCACTCGGGCTGTATGTGAGCACAAAGGCCGTGTACACATCCTCGCCTCCTGATAATGTACCCCTCCTGGGGAAATTTTGGTGGCCCCCCATCGCAAAACTATGGAGCCCCGCCTGGGCCCCGTAAGCCGGGTGTTGGAGGGCACGCCGGCCCGGCAGCGGGGTTCGGCGGCTTCGAGGCCCCATCCAGCGGCTCGCTGTTCTCCAGCCTGCAGGAGCAACACCTCCAGCAGATGCAGCAGCTGCAGATGCTGCACCAGAAACAGCTCCAGTCTGTGTTACATCACGGCAGCAACGCTAATGCTTACGGCGGTATACACTCTGGTGGGATTTCAGGGACACAGTGGCACCCAGAAGGACCAGGACATTCAGAAAGTGGTGTTGGGGCTCCGTCGTTTTATAAACAAGACGAGACTGCTGCTCAGCCGACGAGAGCCCCCGCTGCTCCTCAGCAGGGTCACCCACAGCCGCCTCCTCCACCGCAACCGCAGCCCAACGATCCCCAGCCGGTTCCTCCTCCTCCAGAGCCCCCGTCAACAAAGCCCCCGTCAACAAAGCCACCGGAGAACAGTGCTCTCAAAGAGGCCAACAAGAAACCTCCAGCCACGACAGAAGACGACAAATCATTACCTTTGCAGGTAATGTCCAGCCAGAAATGACCCACCTTTGGAGGCTGTCTGTGTGTTATTTAAGTTTCATTTATCTAGTATATTAGCCATTAAATGGGTTAATGATTGTCTCTGTCCTGGTTTGCTGACAAAATATTTCATTGTTGTGCAGACTAATACTTAAATATATTGTGTGCAAGTATGATACAGTGGGAGAGAAGTGATGAATCGAATATGGCTGAAGCTGAACCAGTGCAACTAGGATAATACTTTGTAATCCAGACTACCATAACTCATTCACTGAGTCTCAAACACATAATCACTGGCAGTGGGAACTAGGAATGTCTCAAGTATCCGCATGAACTGGATCAGAACTATTACTATAGTTAATATAGAACTAGAGTTATTTTTTAGTGTATAAATATACATATATATGTATGTGTATATATTTATCAAATATAAATACTGACTGAACTTTGTTACAGTAAATTGATGCTGAAGTTTTGTTCCCTGTGATCAAAGACTATCAACAGATAATTTCAAAATCAAAGAGTAGATAATCAGTGAAAGTGCTTGAATGCTGTCTTTTAATGGATGAAAAAAGTGAGGATATTCTTCACCTCCACAACACACATTTTGAGAGCTGCGCCTCGATAATGCAGTTAGTCAGGGAGTTGTTTCGATACACATATCAGCATTGGAAATTCCTCTAATACGGCCAAAAATGCCGTATGGGGTATTGGTGAGTACACATCTGAGCACCAATCCAATACCATGTAATTCATTTTTATTTTTTTCCTAGGAAAGCAAAGTCTTGACACACCCTACTCTGACAAAGGGTTTAACTTGAGCCAGTCCATACAACAACGATACCAATCACAGAGGCTTAGTAGCATCTGCTTGTTAAAACACAGAGACACAGAGATTTGTTAGTACAACTAACATTGTTCAGTCAGGGCTTGTAAAGGACGTGTCAGTATGTTTGTGTGCAAGTTACTGGACTACAGTAAGTGTACAAATGAACAAAGAACAAGGGCTCCTTATGTGTTTTGTCTGACACATGTCCTTGTAAATGTTTCACTTAGGAGCAACAGCAACTCTGGTACAAACAACATCTTCAAAACCTACAGAAGTTAAAGCAAGAGAGAGCCAAACAGAATCAGAAAGAAGGTGATGGACCCGCGCCACCACCACCGCTCCCGGGCCAAATGGTTCCTCCTCCCCCTCCATCAGAACCACCTAAAGGCATACCTCCTCCACCGCCTCCAAAAGAGGAGCCACCAGCACCACCTCCTCTTCCAGACGATATAAGGGTAAGAATTCTTAAAATGTTACACAGTTGTTTATATTCAACTCCTCAGCTCAGCCCTGCCTGAGCTGCAGCTAGCATAACACACCCAAATCTCCGACTGAACTGTTGGTGGTTGAGTTGCATTGTGGGTAATGTAGGCCCTATGTTTTGACAGGGAATTGATTCCTGTAGTGAGTAGTTTTTCTGTACTGAAATAAATGACACCACCATGTTAATCATTTTATTACTGTTTATTGCTTTTTGCAATGTATAGCTTTTTTTGTTAGTTCTGTATTTAACAGCCTCTAAGAACAAACCAGTTTTAAGATGAGTATACAAGAGATCTTAGATTATTACTGGATCTAAACATTGTTTATATTGTTTGCATGAATTTACAGAGTGAAAATGTAGGAAAATCACCTACATTTACAGACACAGTAAGTTCCACCATCCACTCTTCCATCACCATCATGTCCATAGATACCCCAGTTCTTATGATGCCATGTTATGGATGTGTGAAATGTATTCATCTTTCCCCTTGTGATGGTGATAATAATCTATAAAACTATGATAATAATCCCTGATCCCCAGTGTAAATTACAGAAGTGAAATTAATGCACTTCTGTATATATTTTTACCCTCCTCTTGTTTGTACAACTGACTGGGAATGATTTTTTAAGTGTCTGTGCCAATATGTGTTTTGGAAACCCTTGCTTTCCGGATGTTAATATATTTACCAAGAATGTTTTTTGCAAAGTAAATTGTATAATAACAATAAATGAGCATACCATCATTTTGTGACAGCCACAGAAAGCTGTTTAACAACTTTGTTCGTTTGTTTGGTGTTATGGAAACAATGTGAGCAGTACTAAATAAGTATTGAGCTTTGATGCCCTGGCCTGTTGGACCAATGTGAAATACGTTCATAGTAGTGTCTTGCATCCATCTAAAGAAATTGTCATCCTTTCCATCACAAACTACCCTCAGTTATGTCAGACATTTTCTGTTTGAGTTACAAAAATATGCTTTGCTCTAATCTGGCCTCGTTTATGTTCACAGCCCGAGGTTCCACAAGACCCAGAAGAAGCCGCCCGCCTTCAGCAGTTACAGGCCGCAGCAGCGCAGTGGCAACAGGTGCAGCAGCAGAGAGCAGGTTTACAGTACCAGGCTCTCATGCAACAGCACGAAAAGCTTCAGCAGATCCTGGAAAAATACCAACAGCTTATTCAGCAACCTGCAAATCTACAGGTATGTAAATGGTAGTTTCGTTGACAGCTAGTCTCTTCCTGGTTGTTTTCCCTGGTCTAAAGATGAAAATGAAAATGAAAGGTAAAAAACGTATGTATGTTTAGTGGAACCAAAAGTAGGTATAAGAGTGTCTAGAAAACCCATACGTTTTCATTTTTACATGCAGTGTAAAAGTATATATATATATATATATATATATATATCTGTGCATATATGATAATACCGGAACCAAAAATAAAACATATTTCTCTCACTGTCCTTTATTGCAGTCAATGTCTCCTGAGATGCAGCTGAGGCACTATGAAATGCAACATCAGCAGTTTACAGCTTTATTCCAAGACTGGGACCGCACCTTCGTTCTGTGGTATGAACAGTTTCAGACCTATCCTCATAAAGACCAACTGCAGGACTATGAGCACCAATGGAAGCAGTGGCAGGAGCAGATGAATGCCACCAATGCCCACCTTCAAGAAAGGGTGGCTGCTCTCACTGCTATGGTGCCATTTGCGTCAAGCCAGTATAATAGTGGAATGATCGGACAATATGGCCAGTTCCCTGGACAAGATGTACAAATTCAGCAGCAGTCAGTAAAACCGGGTGTGGAGCATTCCCCTGTTGCTGCTGGTCCCAGATCTGAAGGTCCACGGCCTGCTGGCTTTGGGCAGAATTCAGAATCGCCTGCTGGACCCCCTGTGAGAGGAGGGGGCCCTGCCAGCTTGGTCAGACCCCCAGGCCCTCCCAGTGTTCAACCACCAAACTTCAACAGCATAAGAGGTCCACGGTCAGTAGGCATTGTTTCGTACTACTGCGATTGGCATTTTATATAAAAAATTGTGACAGTTGATAATTGATTTTCCAAAGAAAAAATGTTGTTGATGTACCTCATCTTTACAATGTGTAATGTTTTATATTGCTAATTAGCTAATTAATTACGTAATTAATCACTTGAAATCAAAGCTTATTTTAATAATGATGTTTTCTGACCATTTTTGTTCCTTCTGTTTCCAGTGGAAACAACCCTAGATTTGATCAGCCACAGCAGCGCTTTGATGGTCCCCCGAGGTTCGACCAGCCACAGCAACGCTTTGATGGGCCCCCAAGGTTCGACCAGCCACAACAGCGCTTTGATGGGCCCCCAAGGTTCGACCAGCCTCAACAGCGCTTTGATGGTCCCCCAAGATTCGACCAGCCACTGCAGCGCTTTGATGGTCCCCCTCGATTTGACCAACCGAGGCACCGCTTTGATGGTCCCCCCAGATTTGACCAACCACGCCAACGTTTTGATGGTCCCCCAAGATTTGACCAACCTCGATTTGGGCAGCCGTCTAGGTTTGAACAGCTCCCAAGGCACCCTGGTCCCCCTCCTCGTTTTGAACGGCCACCTGTCCTCCAACCAATACAACAGCAAGGTCCCCAAGCTAATACAGAACTAGCCACTAAACAACCTGCCAGTATTGACTCTAAGACTCCAGGAAAATCAGCTGGGCAGCCACAATCTGAAAAACAAAAAAGTGAATCAGAAACAGATAAGAAGACGAAGCCTGAAGACTTGACAGATGATAACTTACTAGGAGCTGATGGCTTTTTTGTCCAAGATGACCCCATTCCTCAAACATTAAAAATAAACTCAGAGCCTGCTGAACCTGATGGCAATAAAGCGCCTAACAGCAGTGAAAAGCCCAAGCCTGTTAACAGCAAGCCCATAACTACTCCTTCTACTGTAGCACCTAAAAATACTGCTGCACAAAATCCCCTCAAACCAGATGGACCATCGACAAACAGCAAACCCCCACCGGCTCCGAAGCCCCCTGGAATCCAACAGGAGCCACAAGCTTCTGGACCAATACAGTCAAGACCAGATCCTCCAAGGCCTCCTCCTGGTAGGGGACGAGGCCAGCCCCCAGGTCAAGTGCATGGACGAGGACGTGGCCAGGGCTGCGGGGAGTTCAGTGGACCAAACACTGGACCGATGGGGGAGAAGATGGGAGAAATGTCTTATGACTACATGCCACCTCAAGAGGACTTGGGGATGCCAGAAGAGCAGGCAGAGTATCACTGGCAAGATCCTTCATATGAGGAGTGTGGTGGTGGGGAATCGCAGGTGCCCCCTGAAGAAATGTGGATGCCAGAGGAACATCACTTCCCAACTGACGACGACTATTATGAAGAGTCGATGGGAGGACCCCCTATGGGGAGAGGAGGTCCCCCAATGATGAGAGGAGGCCCCCCAATGATGAGAGGAGGCCCGCCTATGGGCCGCGGTGGACCGCCTATGGGCCGCGGTGGACCGCCTATGGGCCGCGGTGGACCGCCTATGGGCCGAGGGGGGCCGCCTATGGGTAGAGGAGGACCACCGCCAATGGGAAGAGGGGGACCACCGCCCATGGGAAGAGGAGGACCACCTCCAATGGGAAGAGGAGGACCACCCCCTATGGGAAGAGGAGGACCACCTATGGGAAGAGGAGGACCACCTATGGGTAGAGGAGGACCACCTATGGGAAGAGGAGAGCCAATGGACAGACACTGGGAAGAACCTGAGTCAGCAGAGTACTCCGAGGAAGGGAATCCTTACTGGGGAGAAAGGAGACCACCAATGAGAGGCATGAGACCCCCGTTTCCACCTGGCCGGGGTCGTCCCCCACGTGGCCATCCTGGTTTCATGCACCAAGGACGAGGACGTCCCCCTCACCCACCACATGGGCCAATGGATCATGAGCCATTAGGTCGTGGAATGGACACAGATGATACCGAAATGGATCCAGCAAGGCACCCCATGTACCACGGACATGACCCTCATAGCCATCCTATGCATCCCGACGCAGGAAGAGGCAGGCATCGCGTGCCACCGCCACCTCATGAAATGATGGATCCTATGGAGGAGCCATTGTACGATGAAGGGATGGAGAGAGATTTGGAGTGGCAGCCACCACATGGTAGAGGCCCTCCGCTGCCTCCACATGAGATAATAGACAGGGGGGGAATAAGAAGGCGGCCTATGGGTCGAGGAATGGCTAGAGGCATGTGGCGGCCAGCTCCAACACATGAGGAATATGAGGAGGGATATAATGAGGGTTACGTTGAGGATTATGGTCACGGGGAATACGGGTATCGCTGGCGGCCACCACAGGACTATCCTCCTGACGACTATCGGCATGAGGCCAAGTACTTTGAGCCTGAATGGGACAGAGAGCGTGCTCCTCCTGAGAGGGACTTTCCCCCTCGCATACCACAGCCAGAGCCTTACAGAGATGGCCATTGGCTAGAGGAAAGAGATAGAGGGCACCCATATGATGAGCATGACAGGGGAAGAGGTGAACTTAGAATCCGTGAATACAGGGATGAGCCTCCATACCGGCAGGAAGAGTCACCATACCCACCACAACCATCTTCAGAATGGGATAGGCCTTCAAGACTTCCTCCACCACCAGAGAGAGGGTATCCCGCTGACTATGAAGATCGCAGAGGTCGCTATGAAGAGCACAGGGAAGAGAATATTTTGGATAAACCTCCATCTTTACCCCTTGCTGCACCTGTCACTAACTTGCCAGAGAGTTCAGGTGATCCACAAGGAACAAGTGGAGCAAATGTACTTGCTCTCTCCCAGCGTCAGCATGAGATCATCTTGAAAGCGGCTCAAGAGCTTAAACTTATAAGGTAACTTCAAGGCTTTCATCATTGGTTAATACATTATATGCGAGGTTCACACAAATTAAATTCTGACTTATCTAGAGGAATCTATGCAGATTGCAGTGTTATTGTTTGCCTAGGCTTTGAAATGTTCACCTCTGCCACCCAGAAACAGTTGAGATGAATTGAATATTAATGGTTCTAATCCACAAATGTCAACAAGTTCAGCCCACATGCCTTTGCATACTGCAGTGATCAAAGTGAATGGCTGTTTTATTAAAGGTCGATCACTGGGTCTATTTAAAGCCTTATGTTTATAGTGTATACACACACCTACACCTCTGTCTCACACACCGGCTGCCACACCCCCGTCTCTCTCTGCTCCTCTGTCCATATACAGGCTGTATGTGTCTGTTCCGTTACTTTGTTGGTAAGCAGTAAGTTTTATGAAGTTACCTGCGAAACACAACTCACGTTTTGAATGATTTCACAGCAGCCGGTGAGCCACGCGCTAACGAGGAGGCCTGTTAATAATTTGCATGTAAAACATCCCACAGATAGGGTCTCTCTCTCTTTGTTTTAAGTGTTTGCAAAATGCCAAAACGAGTCAGTTTATTTTACTTACTTTACTTTATGGTCAAATAGATTTTGTAAAACTTTTAGGTGAACTTAACTTATATTTTTGTATGTCTACAGGGAGTTGCAGGAGGGGAAGACACCTGGTACTGAACCTCAAGCTGCATCAGCTGACATCCTGCCTGAGCTTCCTGCAGGTCTTCTTGGTTTGGAGATCCCACCGGAAGTCAGGAATGTTCTTAAGGTAATCTATATCTAGTAATACTTAGTTATTTTAGCCCCATTAGTAAGAGTCCATTTCTGTAAGAATGGCGATCATTTACTCATTTACTGTAATTTTGTATATAACTGTTATATGTATCCTTACAAATCTGTCATCCTTAGGGCATGACTGCAGCCGCAAAGACAACTGTAACAGAGTCTGCGTCTTGGGATAGTAAGCCTTCTGCCACAGATTACCAGTCATCTCTCTCTGCTGCACCCACACCTACAGTTATGCCAAAGACTGTGGATTATGGGCATGGGCATGGTATGAGCCAAGATCAACACATTTTAACAGATGAAACAGGTCAAGTTGTAGGGCTTTGTTGGTGACATTAACGCTCAATGTTTCAGAGCCTGGAGCCACCGTTGAGCGGATCTCTTATGGTGAGAGAATTGTGTTGAGGCCTGACCCACTGCCCTCCGACAGGGGCTATGAAAAAGGTGAGTTTCAGTCTGTAATTCTTATCTTTCTCCTCCTAAACAGAGCTTGCTCTTGCAATTTTCTAACCATTGTTCATTGATGAACTATTTCATTCTCCTAGAACCTCTTGGTCCCAGAGATCCTTACGGCAGAGACCCATATTATGAAAGACGATCCGACCCTTACATGGACCGCCGGGAGTACAGTAGAGAGAGGGAATTATACAGAGAGAAGCTTCCTGAATATGAAAGGGAAAGATATGAGAGGGAGCGCTATCCCCCAAGAGAAAGAGATGACAGGTAACGTGTTTCCTCAATGGCTCTAACATCCTTTTTTTCCGAACTATGGGGAAGTGCACTGCTTCCAACCATATGTAATATTCTTTTCTATTTGTCTTTGTTTTGTTTTATTTTTGATTCAAGCACACAGTCCGTGGTTGAAGAAAGGTACTATCACATTGTGTTATACATTGTGATTAGTCATCAGTGTGTGCCAGTTTGAAACAAGAAATTCTATTTGACGAAATGAAACGTAATAATGCGCCTCCTCTGTGTAGATCTCCACTGGCGCATCCTTTACGCTCAGGATACAGGGAGAGAGAGCGGGAGCTTCGAGAGAAGGAGCGAAGTGGAAGTCGTGATCGAGACGAACATTATGGAAGGCCTGGCTACGATAGACCTCCGTACGAGCGCTCTGGTCTTGACCGCAGCGGGCCTGAACGTTACGGCCATAGCTCCTCACCTTACGGTATGTTCAACCCTACATCTGTTAACAGACGTGTGTTCACGTACTTCACCTGTGTTTGATAGAATTTCACTCTTCAGACTTAAATCATAAATTAATTTCTAATTAACTAAAATGACCTTTGTTGCTTGATAGAGGGTGTAGTCAAGAACAATCTGCAACCAGTAAAACTAAATCTATAACGGGTAAAAAAAATAATCCAGTTCAGAGAAATACTTGAATTTCAACTAATATCATACAGTGGACAGAAGAAGTTATCAAGAGGACCGAGGGCCTGCCACTGCACCACCCCTCCCACCTCCACCTCAGCCACCCCCACGAGTCGAGAAGAAGCCAGAAATCAAAAATATCGACGACATCCTCAAACCACCTGGCAGATTATCGCGGCCTGAAAGGGTACTACTTACTGCTGTAATGATTCATGATGTAACAATATCATATTGTTAGATGTATAATATTGAGTACTCAAGTAATGTATTTTAACAGATTGTCATCATAATGAGAGGGCTTCCAGGAAGCGGAAAAAGCCATGTTGCAAAACTCATACGGGTGAGTGGAACATAGTGTAATGTTATTTATAATTTACTGTAACTAAACTCTAACAACAACAACTCAGACCCTCCCCAAAATATGTTTTGACATCAATAAATGTTACAACTTTTTCTAACAAAATAGAAATATGAAAACTTTGCTTTTAAATCTCGTTGACATTATTCAGGATAAGGAAGTCGATTGTGGTGGTGCACCTCCAAGAGTTCTTGTTTTGGACGACTATTTCATGACGGAGGTTGAGAAAGTTGAGAAGGACCCGGATACAGGGAGGAGGGTCAAAACCAAGGTAAGTCTGACGTGCAACAATAACAAAGTGGTGCCAAAGTACACAATTGGAAATTGAAGTCTGTGAGCAGCATCAACTATTATTGTAAACATTAGAAACAATGTAATACAAAAAAATATATTCTTGCAGGTTCTTGAGTACGAGTATGAGCCCGAGATGGAGGATACCTACCGGAGCAGCATGCTTAAAACATTTAAGAAAACTCTGGATGATGGCTTTTTCCCCTTCATCATTTTAGACACTATTAATGACAGGGTTAAACATTTCGATCAGTTCTGGAGTGCAGCCAAAACGAAAGGCTTTGAGGTGAGTTGTGTTCATGAATGAGTCAAAACAATGTTTCTCCAATCAGCCCTGTGCTAAAGAGGTTTTTGTTTTTCTTATTTCAAGGTGTACGTGGCTGAAATCACCGCAGACACTCAGACTTGTACAAAGAGAAACGTCCATGGGCGCACGCTTAAGGATATAATGAAGGTCTGTAAACCCTGTTAGCCCTTTCAGATACATTTATAACAAGAGTGTAGTCAAATAAAGCTCATACATAAAACATACACATTCTAATGGAACATTTTGCACACAGATGTCCAACAACTGGGAGCCTTCGCCACGTCATATGGTGCGCTTGGATGTCCGGTCCCTGCTTCAGGATGCTGCTATAGAGGAGGTGTGGTCTTTAGCCCATGACTGTTCTCATAATATCATAGTTACCTTTATCAGTAACCGAGTAGTCTTTCATATCTACACACTTTGGTTTAGTGCTGTGGTTCTGGCTGAACCAATTATCATTCTTGTGTGTGTGTTGGGGGGGGCGTGGACTCATTTGTAGTTCTTTAAACTAATTACAATCATCTTCGCATGCTTAGCCCAGGATGCAGCTGCAGTTCTTTTAAAATAGTGTTGGAAGAAAGTCGAGGGAGAGCAGGATTGCTACTGAAAAAGTAGGCAGGCCTGACTAGTAACTGAGCCAAACTAACATATGCGTCTGTTATTAGGTTGAAATGGAAGACTTCAATCCTGATGACGAGCCCAAGGAACCCAAGAGAGAGGAGGAAGAAGAGGGTGATCTGGTAGGACAAAGAAAGCTTAAATTTATAGTCACATACGTAGTTTTTAGAATCATTTCCACTTATTTATATTTCCATCTACCACATAAGGTTTTTCCAGTAAGTTAATATCAGCCATTAGTCTTTTAATCATATTGTTTTGTTTATTGAACAGGTGAGTTTTAAACAGATACAATTTACAAAATGGTTTAAATTCAAAGGAAATCTTAGCTTAATTTATTCTAACATATTTTGTGTAGTTGAATGTTTATGTGATAATTATCAGATTTACAAGGAAGACCATGTCTGAATAGAGGAAATATGACAGTCAAAATCCTGTCAATCTTAAAATTAAGTCTGTTAACTAAACAAGCAAGCTGCAAGGGTTTCTGTTTAGATATTTCATTCATCTTATTGTTCAATACTTGAATTTGAAATAATTTTCATCTTAACATCAAGTTTTAAAATTCATATGGTTGCTTAAAGTACCACCATCAGGAAAAGTGTTTACCATTGTGAATGTTCACATTTCCTTTCACAATAAGGCACATTTTCATCTAAAGACTGAATTTAACAAAATAAGCTTTTTAATTTAAAATTAAAAAAAAATCATAATTGAACACGGCAGCATTGAAAACATGGCTGCTTAATCTGTTTTTTAAATTTCTTGTTCTTGCTCAATAATTTTTTATTATGAAATTACAATTAAGTTCTGACATTTCAAAATATAAACATGAATGACATTTATTTTTCTGCCAAATAAATTTTACAAAGATGACGTGAACATTGCTTTTGATATCAATGAAAACGTACAGAAACATTTATATTCACACACTTCAGTGTTGTCTTGGCTCCGATTTTGATACATTTTCAAGTCAGATAATAACTTTTCTTATGTTGAACAACTATTCTGGTGAAATTTGAACAAATTATAGAAAAGTTAAAATGTAAAATTTTGTCACAGACTTCCTAATATCATTTAGGTTGCAGTGAAAGATTCTCCTCAGTTGTACCGACATTTAAATGAAACCTTTTGAAACTGTAGCACTAGTAAGATTTTGAAAGTTTCAAAACGTAAATGTTTCCTATAGTACGACCTTCAGGGGGACTTCCTCCATGTGTCCTTTTCATTAGAAGGAAGGAAGAAGGAAGAAAAAACCCAGCAGAAATGCACAATTGTCTAATAATGAAACACCTAACAACACAATCGCTTCACCTTTAAGCAGCTATAATTAGTATTTTTTATAATAATGTATCAGATGACAATGTGACGACAGTGTGAGAAAGGTAGCTCGTAGTGATGAACTCTCACCTGAATCTGCAGCTCCACTCAACTTTAAGAAGCTTTCTAGTGAGTTTCAGCTCATTCTTTAGCTGTCTGTCCCACAACTGTTTTGGTTCACTTGGTTTAATAATGTAATTTTTGTTTTTTGTGTGTCAAATATAAACCTCCTTACATTTTACAATTTATTTTTTCTTTTCCATGCAGAGGGCAAAGAGATTATTGAACCAGTCTTATTAATTAAACTGTAGGCGTCATTGGTATAAATGGCTCGAAAGTGTAAGTGCAAATGAAATGCATAAATAGCAGGATTGGTCTCCAGTTGACATTATAAAATATTTTACAATGCACAGTGACTCATCTAAAAACAGTCAAACTTGAAGGTCTGCATGCATTTATAAAAAAGCAAAACTGCATTTATTCTGTCTCTGGACAGATAAAGAAGTAGTTTGTCTCAACTAAAAAGTTCATAAAACCTTAAACCTTTTCTGTAAAGGTTATTAATGTGTGGTTCAGAATGAACAACCAAATATATTAAATATTATTCATACAATTCTGTTGTTTTTTAAATACACTTTATTACTGTTTGGTAATTGTTTCATAGTAATTGACTGATGTTTTTTAGCTTCTCCTAAAAAAAAGCTTCATATATGAAAATTGTTGGCAGTATTATATTATCACATATACAGTACGTGTGTGTTTGTTTGTTTTAACTTTAGTATAATACAAACATTAGATAATCTCCCACTCTTATTAACTGATAGAAAAAAAATTGTTAAACATTTGGAGCCGAAAAGGTTTCCACAACCTGTAACTACAGTAGAAAATTACAATTTTGCGCAGCTTGTAGTTCTTCATACAATTTAAAATCAGACAATTTAATGTCTGCATTGTTTATTATTCCCTGTATTATTTACAATGACAACTTTCTTTAAACGTGACAACATTTTGACATGACTGTAGTGTGTGTAAACAACAAACAAAATCAACTGTGATTTTTAGATATAATATTTTTAAATGTATGTTACCCTATAGGTTGAACTAAGAGCTCAATGAACACTCACTTTAGAAAATGTAATATTTCTGATTTATTAGCGGAATAGGCAGTGAAACATAGTTTGTTGTGTTATTTGTTGAAATATTTGATACTGCAGTTGCTACACCATGAACATTAAGTCATTGATTCATAAGAGAAACACCTCTTTGAGGATCCTTCATTCAACTGATTAAAGGATGAAAATCAAATAGTTTTTTAACTAATTCAAAATAGTGACTGAATGTGAACTCAGTGTTACCAAACAAAGCCATTCTCAAATGCTGGGCAACGGCCCATTGGTGGGCCTCAGCGCGCCATCAATTGGGTAGTTGAGGCAGTGCTAATGCCACATGGTTAGATCAAAATTATTATTTTCTGCATTTATTTTGGTAAAACAGCAACTTATTTTTTATATCAAAATGTGTTCAAGAACTAATATAATTAAGAAATGTCAAATTAAAATGCAGAATTTCAATGACCAGTTTGAATATCACCAATCACAACAGAAAATACGACAATGAATATAGAATAGAATGAAAAGAATATTGTATGGAAAAAATATGCTGTTTCAGGGGCCCATGAATAAAAATGTAAAGCTGCTTTGATCATTGTTACTATCAGCCTGTTAAGACCTGCAGTTCTACACGTGCATGTCATCACCCAACGCTCCCTTTCATTGTGATTGACTTTGAACCCTGTGAAGTTTGATTGCTGACAGCTTCTAATATCCAGATACTTTTAAATAATAACAATTACAATAATCCCTTAAACCCTCATATAAAAACATATAAGAAGTTTAGATTTCTTCTTTTGTTCTAAATCTTTCTTGACATCTTAGTTAAATTATTGTGGATGAAATCAAGAAACATTTACAACAAAAGTTAGACATGGGCATATGTGTCTCATATAATGTAACATTAAGAATGATTTTAGTCTCTGCAGTAGTTTGATAATGGGTACTGTACAATGGATGGACTGTACATTTTAATGCGGAGCCAGCAGACATGAAACACTTAATGAGGCTAACTGAGCATGTTTGTTGTCCAGCACAAAACAACACTGTAAAGTCAATCTTGACGGAAAGAGTCCTCCATCAATCTTCCTGATACAAGGCACTATATGCTGGCTTCAAAATATAATGATTTATAATATTATAAATATTGAATTAATAATAAAAATGGTGAAATAAAAGTCTCTCAAATACCCCATTAAAACAGACAAGAACTTGAGGAACATCCTAGAAAAATCCTGCTGTGATATGATATCAAAAATCCTTGAGATCAAACATATGTTACCCAAGCGCATGTATTTAATCATGAATCTTAATTCATATTAACTTTAAAAAATCTTTGGAGCTAAATATAAAACGTATACGTATGTTACCTAAGGAAATGTGTTTAATCATCAATCAGACGATTGTTTTTAAAAAAATTCTTTCTTGAAATAAAGGTGGTGCTACACCATCTTACTCTGCTTTTGCACCGTCATCCCACTGTTTTAATTGACCACAACCCTCATCACAGTTGGATGTGGTCCGAAATTGTCTGTTGCACCCGTGACCACATCTAACGGTGATGTTGTGTTCCGCAGGAACGCACTGTGAAGTGCTTTACTGCACAGTGTGGACAGACCATGTAGCAGCTGCTACCTGGCAGTACAAGCTGGATATCCAGCCTGAATGTATTAGTATTTGTCAGTGTGAAAGTCTGTAGAGAGGTTGTGTGTTTTCTATGTGCATCATATATTTATGAATGATCCAAACAGACTCTGGAGTCTGTTGTCTTGTAAAGCAACAGTTTGCCTCCTTTCTTCAGCTTTAACTTTGAGCTTTGGTTTGTGTGTAAACTTAGCAAATGCTGCTGGAAGTTGAAATTCCATCAGTGTAACTTGACACTTTTATTACAAAGGAAAAAAAAACATTACAGTGTGAGCCTTTTTTAAATCTACAGAATAAATATATGTAAATATGTGTTTAAAGGTCCTTCACCTCCAACCTCCACCCACGCAGGTGTTTTCATGCCTGATTAGACTTCATGTCACTACTAAGTGGGCATGTACAGATTGTGCTTGATTGACGTCTCTGTGTCTTGCGAGTGCGCCCATCTTAAACCTGAGCAGAGGTCTAATCAGGAAGAAAAACAAAAAACACTTATATAAATTTTGTACAAAAATGAAAAAGGGTTAAAAATGTATACATACATTTCAGCCAATGTGGATTACTGATCCTAAAAGTTAAAGAAAACCAAACCAATTAATAAAATAGAGACAGCACAACTAATAATATTACCTATAAAAACAAATTTATGCATAAATATATTTTAGAATACATATTCAAATCAACTGGATTTTTCAGTTCTTAAAAGCTGGTTAAAACTTTATCCAGAGCTGCTGTCAAAACAACACAAGACCTCAAGCTCAAATTTGCACAATCATTTAAACCAGGTTTCACCCTGTTCGACTTCTGTGCAGATCAACACACAGGCAGGAGTAGATTAATGTTCATATAGTAAGACAACTTTTTTGATATTTTGGGACAAAGAATTAAGAGTAAGAAAAATATGAGGTAGGGACAAAAGCTGTGAAAAAAACAAATGTGTGGTTATTGGGCCTCTGAAAAGATTACAGAGATCGCAACTGTAATTTTATTTCACCACTTGTTGTGGAGGCTCTTTAATCTGTCGTATTATTGGGGGGGGATGTTTCTTATTTTATCTAAAACTATTCTTATAATTAATATCTCAGCTGGAATTAAAAGAGCATTGAGATTCAATTAGGTGGTCTTTAGTGTTGATCACATGATTATAAGCTCACAAGTGCAAACTACATGACTAGAGATTGAACTGCAGATAGAGGTTTGCTTGATGATCAATTTCGTTTAAGGAAAACACTACCTAATGTATGTTCTCCAAAGCAGAGCACAGCTAAGAACAACGGCTTGTTAGTTTCTCTCAACTTAAAAGATCAAAATGTTTGCATGCCAGTGTTGTATTATATGTCTTAACTAGCTACGTCACCATGCAGTGTCATCCTTCAGATGTCTTTGTTGTCTTTCAACTACTGATAAACCAGTCTCTTCTCTTTTCAGACCACCCCCGCTTTCTCTCTGCCTCTCTCATCCCTGTATCACTAAGATGTTTAACCATTGCAATGTTTCTTCATATAATTTAGGGCTACATTCCAAAAAGCAAATGGGAGATGGACACGTCTGAGGCAAAACTTGGTAGGTATTTGTCCTTGTTGGGCTTTATTTTATGACCGACTACCGCAGTTTATGTTTATGTCTTATAGCTGTGTATGTGGACTGAGCTCCCGGGTCTGAAAAGTGAAGCCAATGCGGGCGTGCCTTAAACTTGCATTCTTTCTAATGGTCAGCAGGGGGCGGCTCTACAGGTTGCAAAATTAAGTCTGATTGGATGGAGTCTTATGAGAAAACGATCCTACTTCTCACTTGATTTATTAACGAATTTATGTCTCAGTCGCTAGTTTCAAGTCTTTTTCAATACAGCTTGATGCTCATTTTGTAAATTATGATTCCCATTTAGAGTAAAACAGACAATAAAGTAGGGTATGTTTTAGGGCTTGACTACCTTGTGATTGACACACCAGGTACTCAGTCAGATCCAATCAGGATAGAGACGTAGCAATGCGTGTCCTGCCCAACTCCACACTCTGGTCCATATATGGTCACTTCTGGTTCCAAAAAACGAAGATGGCAACGACCATAACGCTAAACTTGAGGCTTCAAAAAACGGTAGTCAACACACCAATTGGTGATGTCACGGTAGGATTACACATGACCCTCTGTCTCTGTGCACACAGCATGACAACAACCTAAACTATTCTTGGTTGTTAACACACCAAAATAAAGCCCACTTTTGTTTTTATCTGAAGAAAACATGTCTTCATAAAGGGGTGAATGCACCGAGAGAATGAAAAGATGAGGTTGTACATATTAGACCAAAAAGTTGGAAGTGTTGAAGCTGGCCTTTTACATGAATGTTAGGATGATGCGGTTAACATTTTTATTTTGAGGGCAGAACTGACCTGAAAAGTAATCTTCCATTTATACAGACAAGTTGGACGGTTTGGGGAGCAGTGGGAAGAGGAAACGTGAAGACATGGCAGGCCTGGATGACTACCTTCAGCTGCCAGACGACTATGCCACACGCATGTCTGAACCAGGAAAGAAAAGGGTAAATTGACACTTTGACTACCGAGCTGTTGCTTTGGTCATCTCAATGAGTGTTTTCCATTTATGAAACAAGAAAATTCTATATGTAAAAATCCAGTTCATCCAGTTTGTATAAAAGACACCGTTTTTTTGTGTAATATTAAATGTTAGATAACATATCTCAAATTATGCTCCTTCATTCATTTCCTGGCCATAATAACTTGATGGCTCTCCTTTTTGTTAAGGTTCGATGGGCTGATCTTGAAGAGCAGAAGGATGCAGATAGAAAGCGCGCTATCGGCTTTGTGGTGGGTCAGACAGACTGGGAGAGAATAACAGATGAGAGTGGCCAGCTGGCACAAAGAGCTCTAAACCGTACGAAGTATTTCTAAGAAGATAATCTTATCCCCCTTTTCCCTTCATTTAAAGGTATGTACGTTCCCCTTTTGTGTAATGTTGTTAGGGTTGCTGTAGATGTCACTGATGGCTTAGATGAGTAATTATGTCTGTGTTTTGGTGATTAGTATTCAAATTCTAACTCTGTAAATATTTTCATAGTAATGCACCTTTTAATGACTTGATGAGGTAATGTTTGAGGCCATGTCCTCCATTGAAAATGTACTTCTTGTACATTTTGGCAACTTGTTTAATCCGGTTTTATCTTCATTGTTCAGCAAGCCATTCAAAAAGATTTGTATTACATTTCCAAGATTAAACGCAGTAAATAAAAGTGAATAAAATGCTGTGAATATTTTAAAAGTAACCTCACTAGGTTTGATTTGGGGCATTTCTTTTTACTGATGATAAACACCTGAAATGACCACTGTAATGATACAAATACAGCTGTAACAGCTCTTTACTCTGTATGAAGATCATATAAATCAAAATGTCTGTATATTCCTGAATCTATTCATTATAAAAGTTCTCCAAGTATCACATATAAAAGTTTAACTTGATTGTATCCAAGTCAATCCAGTATCCAATAATTTCTTTTCCTTTCTGCAGGTGTCCAGAATGTCGAAACACTGAAGCTTACATGAGACTCATCGAAGTGACATCACCAATAGTTATCAAATTCTTAGTTTTTTCATTGATAAGGATACGGTAGAGTTTTTTTCTTCTTCTCATTTTTAAACAGGCACTCTGCTTTTTCACCATTAAATGTGGGGTTTATGATTCAGTGCTTCTTCCTGTATTCTGCGTTCAGTCATGTTTCATGCTGTTTTATACTCTTCATGCTTTCTGTACTATATACCTGTAGCACTGTTTCTTGGTCCATGCATACTTAAAAAGACAATAAAAGTTTCATAAAATTACCTACTTGGGGAGTCTTTCTTGAGTTGTCGTTTGGGCTTCTTGTTGACGAACCCCAAAGTGTATATGCTCGCAAAACAGTGTAAGCAAAATGTGCTAGAAATTAATCAGGCTGAAGAATTATTTACATCTCACCGACACTTGTTTAGCCCCCATGCCATTTTAAGGACAACTATAATTAAAGCTGCAAGCAGCATTGGGCGGGACCTTGCCATCAATTTATGTCGGGGCCTGCACGGCGGTCGCCTGCCGCAGCCGCGCCATGCCACGTCACCTCACTCCCAAGCCCTCATCGCCAGAAGCTGAGGGAGACCATTGTACGTTGTCTCGCATTACAGACACCATGCAAAAGACTTAGGCTTTCATAACGAGACTCTTCACTGCGAAACATGGAAATTCCGCACCACGCCACAAACATGCTGTTTGACACAGTAAATATTTGATTGACTTCTGATCACCTATGTGTCTAGATTGCAGTGATCGAACTTGAAGTCAGTCCGATAAAATCTGTAGGAGTTTGTTCAAATTGAAGCCCTGAAATGCCGGAAATGGCATCACAGCTTGACATTCGATTCAAGCTGGCCAACTATGACAGCACGCCACAGACACACCCTTCAACACACAGTCACAAATAGCACAACTTTTAATAAGCAACATTTTTCAAGTGTACTGTCCAATTTTGAAGCAGATCTGATAAATTCCCTAGGAGTTTGTTCGTTCAAATATAAGACCATGGAATTCAAAATGGCCAAATTTGACGGCACGCCATGGACACGCCCTTCAACGTACAGTCGCAAATAGCACAGCGTTCAGTCAGCAGTATGTTTTTTAAAGTATGTATTTTTTCGGCTTTTATTGTCTTTATTATAGTGACAGCTGAAGGCCGACAGGAAAGGGGGGCAGAGAGAGAGGGGATGACACGCAGCAAAGGGCCGCAGGTCGGATTCGAACCCTCAGGAAAATGTTTTGACTGTACTGAAGTCGAGCCGATATAACCTGTAGGAGGAGTTAGTTAAAATAGAAGCCCTGAAATGCCAGAAATGCCATCACAGTTTGACATTCGATTAAAAATGGCCAACTTTGACGGCACGCCACTGACACGCCCTTTAACGTACAGTCGCAAATAGCACAGCGTTCAGTGTGCAACATTTTTTGACTACTGACCAATTTTGAATAGATTCGATAAATTCCCTAGGAGGAGTTCGTTCTAATAGAAGGTGAAAAAGTGAAAATGACAAACAAAATGGCCGCAGAGACTAAAAAAATCTAAATCAAAATAGCCGACTTCCTGTGGGGTTTGGGGTATGGGTCCAAGAGGCTTTTCTGTAGGTCTCAGCACTGCTTTGTTGAAATTCTGTAAGGGGCGCTACAAACACAACAAACACGATTTTTGGTATGTCAGCTACAGGCACCAGTCTACACGTGCCCTGTGAATTTCATATTCATAACTTTTACGGTCTCCACACAGTGATTTACACTGCCACCAGAGCGCCACCTAGTGGTGGATTGTTGACACATTTTTTAGCAAGCCTCAGGGAGCCATTGGCAAGCATCGTACCAAGTTTCGTTTTAATCACACGTGCCCATGTGGAGATATAAACTTCTTCATTATGCGCCACTTCCTATTTCCACCATAATCTACAGAAAGTGCTAATTTTATAACATGCTTATTTTTTTAAATATCAAAATACTTTAATTAGTTTTTTTTGCCAGGACAGTCTCCAGATGCTATGTGATAAGTTTCATGCGAATCGGACAAAGGCACATGGATGGAACACTCAAATGTAGTTGGACATTTTGCGCTTTAGCGGGAAAAAAATCTAGGTGAAAGTGAGCGTGGCCCATATTGGGAGATGCAGCTCCTTTCACCGAACGTGTGGATATAGGTTTTTTGAATGTGAGACAAACGATGTAGGAGTTATTAGCCTAAACTTACTTTTCTTAATAGTAGCGCCACCTAGATTGTCACGCATAGAATATCCAATTTTTTACCAGGCCTGGCCACTTTGCCAAATAAAATACATCCTAAGTATATGTTCAGGGGGTCAAAAATGCAGTGAACGTTTCCCACAAATAATAATAACTTAAGCAAATAGAGACCTCACAGTGTTTGACACTGGCGTGGTTCACTGTATGCTGTATTGTTATGTTAGGAGAATAGAAGTAAGAGAGTATATAGGGTAACATGAAAGTTTGTTTTTTACCAACTTCTGTGTTGGTTTGAAGAGAAACTTAAAGAGGCTGTTTTATTTTATTATGTTCAGCTTCATACTATTTCTGGGGCATACAAGAAAAAGTTTACATGCTTAATTGTTTAACAAACACATTTCTTTTCACCCTGTCTGAAGCACTGTCTCTTTAAGGCCCCCTCCTGAAAAGTCCAGTCTGCTCTGATTGGTCAGTTCCCACATACCTGAGAAAGCTCCGTGCTCAGTGTTTTGCAAAACACCAACCCAAACGTTTACCACGTAAACCAAAAACTTGACCACTGCACACGTTTGAGGAATTTGATCCAAAAAATGAGGACAAATTGTGCAGAAATGAATTTGCTTGGCAACGGTGTGTAACTTTGATTAGCACTGAGCAGGCTAGCTGCTGGGTGCAGGTCACAAACAGCTGGAAAAAGGGTATCAATCCGCCCTTGAGCTCGAACCATTACTGGCTGGCCGTTGAGAAAGCAGTCCGGAGTAAAATGCACACGTTGCCATCAAAAATAAACTAGATCCACTCAGCTCAAGAAAAGGTTGGACTACAAATGATTTAAGTAGTTCAGGAGCAGTGTTTCCTAAGAGAATAACTCACTTTACCGTGGACTTGGGGCTCTGTAACTTTGCGGTTTTACATGCACCAAAGAGCTATATAACACTAAGGAAAAGGGAAAACCCCAGAAAGCATAATATGGTCTCTTTAATGTGTTTATCACACCAGTACAGTTTTACACCTGCATTGCTCCCAGTCCCTTAATGGTGTTTCTTTCCTGTCAGTGTTTCATTTTTTTATTTAAAAAATTTAAACAATACTACGAGATAATTGTACTTAAGAAGAAGATCCCAATTTTCAGTCCTAAGAGTTTGAAATAAGAAGATTGTGTTTGTTGCAGCATTTTCTCTGGTTCAACTTTTGGCTTGTGTCAGAAGATTGTGTGTAATGTTAAGTGCATGATTGCAGGACTAAAAAGGACCAGCTCATTGTGTTTATAAAATAATATAAAAATTATATAAAATTATAGTAAATGCAAAAAAGGTCAAGATGCTACACAGTCCCATAGCACGCAGGGTTGTCAAGATCCCTCAGCTTCTAAAGATAGCAAATCTGCCGTGTTTAGTGCCGGGGAAGTAAAGTCAGGAGTACTGGTAAAATTGGTGTTCAAGTGGTTAAAGTTTCTTAAATGACGAGCCCACAGTGGCTTTCATGACTTTTAATTTTTACGTCATTACGTCATCTGCCATTGTTTTTGCACATTTTTACATTCAAAGTCAAAATATAAAAGTATAACCACATTCAGCTGATCATTATTATATGTGATCACTAATGCACATTATTGTAGGCCATAATTAAGTGCTTGTATTTTCTTTACTGGTGTATAAAAAAAGTGTCCCTTTACTAGTCAGTTAAACTTTGAAACAAACTGAGAACTGGCTTCAAATTTCTGTGGACAATCTACAAGTCAAAAAAAGATGGTGGGAGTATTTAGTACGATATGTTTTAAATATATTTAATATATAAGATGATTTAAAAGAAAATAGCACACATTGTCTTGCTGCATTTGAGTTTCACGAAATGTTGAGTTCAGATTTCCATGTGCAGATTTCTATTAGAAGTATTAGAAGGAACCACATTCAGTTTCACTGAGTGTCTGAGTTCTCATGGTTAATATATGGTGATGTAAGCAGGTGTATTCACTTTTTACATTTACAAATTTTGCACTTGTGAAGCAATGGGTCCGGATTATTCACACATGAGAAATGTAACATCTGGATTGTCAACAACTGAAGACAAATCAAGGATCACCAATTCTGACCAAACACACAGAACCACTGATGAAGACCATGTTTGATTTGGTCAGCCAGCCACAGTGTATCATTGGATGGATGGATCCTCATGGTAAGTATGGAAGAAGGCCAGAAATACTGCTGTTTTTGTTTGTAAGGGATGGGTGAGATAGTAGAGATATTTTACAGAATCAGTCATTTTGAAATTCATGTAATTTCTATTTTATATATCCTGTACATATGAATGGTAATAATGAGCTCTGCTGAATATTAAACTTTTTTTTTCTCATGTGTTGTGGACCTTATTTTGTGCTTATCAAACATAAATCGTCTCAAAAATCAGAAAACGTGTTGCACTTTGTGACTTGAAGACATTTCACCGGCAAAACGTTCACAATCATAAAAAATATGTATTATTGCTATATAATACGACTGATATAGCAAAATACATATGTCCAACTACTTCATGATGCCTTTGCCACCAGTCTGCCATATATAGAGAGAGATTGTAAATGTGCAGGCATTGACTTCACTTACCTATTTTACAATAGAGCATGCTCTTCATTAAACACAAAATAGTTTGCTAATCAAGGCACGAGTAAGTCCACATTGTGACAGTAACCACTGTGGCACATGATGACTTCTGCTTGGTTCTCATCCAGAGTGATGACTTTTGAATTCAGCTGGTACGTCACTGTCCAGTTTACAAATCACCTTGTATATCGCTTTCTTCCACGATGGATCACGATCCTTGCCCACTGAAATTGCGATGTAAAATTCTCTCAGTGTGACCTCGACAACTTCCAGGAATCTGTCAGGGACCTGTGAATCCACAGGAGATCAGAGACATTAAATTAGGACCTTTAACATACATACAGTTCACATCCCCAACATTGTCTTTGTGTGTGTGTGAGAGAGAGACATAGTCATAGGATCATGGACTGGCATTATGTTTAAGATAATCAAAATCAGGCCTAGCAAATCAAGGTAAGTAGCAACTAAAAACTTAGCTGAGGGAATATGATATAATATGATTAATTAATGACAATACCAGACTATCAGCACACACACAGCAGCCTATAGCTTACTCTGATTTTGTTTCTTGGTATATAACTTTTCATGTGCTTTGATACCCTTTTTTCTGTATCTGTAACTCAGTACTAATGTTGAATTCAAACAATACCGGAACTGGTGAGCAGTATTATGTTGCCAAGTTAAAAATCGCTTTACAGTGCATTCAATATTAAGTCCTCTGTCAAAGACCTCTTAGTACGAGGAGGAGACTTGCATTAGTGTCTAAAGTTAGTGTATCATATATTTTTATGTACTAAATCTTATTCTGAAAATATCCCTGCCCATCCTTCTTAACAACTTTAAAAAAGAAATCTGATGATATATCAGCTGATCATTTCATTTTTTTGACACAACCCATGACATAAATATACATGTCTGATAAGGTTCCCTTAAATTTATTTTTTGTTTGTTTTCCAAGTGAACGGAGAATGGTTGTCGTGAAAGGTAGTCCAGTGAGCTGAGAAATTATTAAATAAAAATAATTATTAAAATGAAATACGAGAGGCTCACAACATGTTCACTGTATGTAGTACATTCAGCGATTGTATACTTGAACGTTGACTGAAAATGGATCATTTCAGGAAGTGATTCAATACAGTTTGTTCATCCAAAAGATTTGTTCCTGAAACATTTGCGAATGTCACAACAATAGCACCAAGGGGGAAGGAAAGAAGCACCATTTCCCTATTACAAGTCAGTGTACCATCGAAATGATACTGAAGCTGTTACTTTAAGGTGAAATAGTTGCATAATGTTGCTTTCAAATAATGGGATAAAGATCCAAAATGGCAGTGAGTGCAGTTTCAAGTCGTGCAAAGGAAACGTGAGACAAAGAGGGCAGCCAGTGTTTTCATTTCATGTAACATGCATGTTTGATTTCAGCTCCTGCTCCCATATGAACACACCAAACAATCAGTGCTGGGTGTGTTCATGTGTGTGATCTGTTTAAATACAGTCCAGTGATCTTCAAAAATACTTAAACAGGGTGTATGCAGTGTTGATTTTAGCAAACACATACATGAATTCAACCTGGTAAACTGTGCAGACACTGTGTCTAAACACTAAGCAGCATCAAAGTGAATACTGTGTGCAGTAAAGCTTTGCTAAGTTATTGTACATTTAATAACATACATATCATAAAATTACTGTATGGATTTTTATTTAATTGAATTTACATACTTCTGGTTCATTTGGTCTGCGTGGATTTTAAATACAAAGTAAAATCACTACTGTGAAGTTGCCACTGACTGAAAGAACTTTGCCTCATTAGATGTCTTTTAATGCTGTAAATAACATACTGAACACAAGTGTAACAACCTACGAAATGACTGAAAATTACTTTTTCTCTGAATATTAGCTCCAAAATTAAATTTGTGCTTAATATTCAAACACACTAGAGAAAAATTAATGACAAAACACACAATACTCATTGTGACACCAACTTGATAGTGTGCTTATTTAGCTAATAGGCTTAGTCATCCATTATAGTCAGCATTTACTTTTAGAAATTATGAAATTATTGTTAATCATGTTAATTAGTATATTTTTTGCAGCAAATCCCCGTTTGAGGTCATATTAAGTGCTCCGTCTAAGTGTTTAGTTTCTTCTAAAATCTTCAGTCACACTAGACCCACCGTCCTTTGGATGCTTCTCACTGATGTATTACAGTATAGTAGTTGTGCTAGTTAGTAGAATTAGTATTAAAGCTTTGTTGCTATGTGTTAAAAGTGTGTCAGTCTGTGTGGGAAAGTATAGCATGTATCTGTGCATATGGATTCACATCTTGTGTTCTTCACCGTTCATGCTACACCTCATGGCCTTTTGAGAAATAATCAAATGAGGTTGGGCTATTTTCTGTCTGTGTTCACTAATATAGTGGAGACTTAACTTGTCACTGGTTTTATGAAGTTATGGTTCGACTACAAGAACAATATAATAAGGTTTTGCCTCATATTAACATGTGTTCACTAGTGTTTGAAACTGGATGAAACCGTAGACATCCTAGTACTTAGCATGTCATCCCCTCTCACTCTCATTTAATTCTTTACTTAATAAACTATTTAATGAAGCGGAGTACCCAAAAATAAATTACATGAAATCTGTAGTCTGAATGTGACGACACATCTCAAGATTAAAAAAGTAAAGTACTCCACACACGGCTCAATAAGACAGTTTTTTTAATTCTAAAAGCTTTATCTTTCTTACTTTGAAGAAACACTTGTATCTTTGTATGTGCTAGTGTATTTAAAAATGAATAAAGAGAATTAAAAATATGAATATATTAAAATTAAAAAATATATTTTAAAGAATTTTGATGCATTTCAAAAGGTACCTACCTGACACAAATTAATGTATGTGTTTTTTGCATCTAAAATAACCAACAGCAGACATGTGTTGGCACATAGAGGACCTCTGATTATAATAATATGTACAGTAAACAGTATACATTACTAAAGCAATTCACAATTTGGTATCATGCGTTTACATTTTAACATTTTAGGAACGCTTATATTAGTTGAACTGTCCGTTACTGATTTCTTTTCAAATGTATACCAATTACAAACAAGGAGATGCAGTTGCAGTGAAACAGACGGATTAGAAAGTTATTTTAAGCTTTTGATTTAAAATACAACACACACATCCAACAAAAATAAGATCTCCCCAGTATTTTGTACATTCAGAGTAATAAGAATTATAGTGTTTAGTATCAGTTACCTGGAAGTCGTTGGCTTTGTTGTAGTGCATGTTGAGAGCTCTGAAAAGTTCTGATTCTCTCCCCACAGTCAGACCCCTCACATCGGCCACTCCTTCTATGAGAGCGTGTCGGGCAAACTTCTCCATCTGGATGTAGTAAAACTCCCTGAAGTTACTGAACCACTTGATGAGCTGAGAGGTGATGCAGCGCGTGAACTGAGGATGAAAACAGGTAAGTGAGATGATCCAAGTCCCTGTTTTGTAATTTGTTGTTGTCTTTATGTGAGAGACAAGCTGCTTAATATGTTTTACACTGTATATTTAAAAATATAAAGCAAATAAACTATTTTATCACATCTCTTTGTTACCATATTTACACATTTTGTGTTTTACAGAAATGCAATAATATGTTTTTAGTCCTGATCTAATTGCTTGATTATTAAGCTGTAAAAAATAAACTCTATTAACTTGTCTTGAACTGATTCTTTATTCTGTGGTGACAGAAATGCATTTTGAAAGTATTGTGTTGAAAACATCTTGATGAACCTTGGGATCATAAAACATGCAGCACATTAAAAAACATTTACAGATTGATTTTTGATTTAGGTTGAAGATTTTATCTCAGGAACTACAAGAAATATGTCCACTTAAATGCAAAATGCAGCAACTTTCCCAAGATTGTGAAAGTAAAATAAAGTCATGTTTTGTATAATCCATTAAAATGACACAGATGTGAGGAAGAATTATACTGCTGTGCTCACCTGCACATCATGGAAACACATCTTCAGTACCAGTGAGCTCGGGTAGCGAGTGTAGAAGAACATAAGCTTTGCTTTCTTCAGATGATTTGTGGTCAGACCTTCCTGAATGCACCAGTGTTAAGGATGAAACACACACACACACAGTAGACATAAGAAATACTGACTTTTCTTCGTTAATGAGGCAGGAAACCTTTTCCTTCCAAGAAATCATTACATACAGGACAAATGGAGAGACAGCAATTTTCTTCAAAGTTTGGAGGATCAAAGGGAGTATTAGTTGGATTCTGTAAGGTGTTGAAAAATTGTTGTTGATGAACTGACTCCTTTTAAAGCTCATATCTCGGATGATGACAAGGTTTGTGACAGAATGGGTTGTTATTTGGACCTCAGAATTATTACTGGTATATAAAGGCAGGTGCTTCAGAAGCTACAATAAGAGAAAAGACATCAAATGTTTTTGTCACTGCTGATTGCCACTTAAAAGCACAAGAAAACATAATAAAATATGAGACTACATGAATGTAGAAACTTGTTAAGGATACGTTCAGCATGTACAGGTTATTCTTCACCAGGCTATCGGACTCGATCTTGACATGAGGGAGACACAGGCTTTGCAAAAGCAGAGGATCCACTGACACAGAACGAGTCTGTGGGCTTCTGACTGATCTGGAGTTGACCTTCGATCTCACTTTGACCGAATTCCAATGAGTGTCAAACGTCTCGTACTTGGCCTGATCAACGTCAGAGCATCCATCTTGCAAGCACCTGAGGGCGTGTTGACGCGCTGTGTTCTTCTCTGACGGCTCTTCTTCACTCAGAGCGGAGTCATAACCGAAGGGGGTCTGAGATTTGGGACGACGGTGAGCTCTTGATCTGGACTGCAGGATGAACTTGTCAGCTCTGTCCAGTCGAGGCTTTTGCACAACCAGAGACAGAGCTTCAGTTTGAACGTCTGGGACTTGCACCTCTTCAGTCCCACGACACAAAAGTCTGACTTTATTGTCTTTGCAAACCGATGACTGAAGGGAACTATCGCTCTCTACATTCCCCTCGTCGTCTGGCGAAGTCTGCAGAAGCGGCATGCTTTTGAAAATAGAGTCGACACTCTTGCTGACAGCTCTGGACAGTTCGTACTTTAAAACATCCGCCATTAGCCTTATTCTCTCGGGTTTGGACTGGAAGTAGCTCATCAGCTTCACCTTCTTCCATCCTTGATATTTTCTACTTGAGCTGCTCTCGAACTCGCCGAATGAATCCGTACAAGCGTCCCTCAGAGATGTTTCAGTAGAATTGTCCCAGTGGGGATATTTATCTTCGTTACTACTGTCGGTGGGGTCAGTTATTCCGTCCATGTGGTTGAACCTTGTTCTGAGCTGTCTGAGGTGCTCATGCTGACTCTCAAGCTGCTTTCTCATACTGCCAGATCCGCTTCTCTCCTGATGTAAAGGAAGTTCTTGAGTCCTTTCATTTTCCTGCATGCCGTCTGACACCTCATGCTGATTTGTCGTCACATCTGTGCAGTGCATACCAGGGGAGCCGGTCATGCCTTTGATGATATTTTCTACTCTGGCACGTTTTGCTTGATGGCCACTGTTTAAGTTCCAGTCGTGGTGACCACAAGAACTGGATGGATGCCTTTTTGTGGATAAAAGTACTGCATCTCTGGATGGATTGAGCTCCAGCTGATTGGAACAAATCAAACTTGAACCAGCATCACCTCTGCTGTAATAAGCACTCTCCGGTAGCATGTTTATTTTCTCACTGTCTTTGTGTAAGGTCACAGAAGCGCCTGACGCGTCTGAATCTGGCGGCAATGGGTCAGGTTGAAAGGAGGAGAGATGCTCTGCAGTGCAGCCGTCGAGGCAAATGTTGCTGGGAGAATACATACCTTTGCTCCAAATACTTGGATTCATGCTTGTTGGGTTAAAAAAAAAAAAAGACAGCAGTGAAGAAAAAACATGATTATTTATTATATGATGCATGCTTTGTAAGAAATTAATCTATTTCTGCCTGGGATTCTTAGAGATGTAACAATAAACAATAAAAACTTGGGGTTTTGCACAAATATGGATCTAAATAATACATACAATAAACTGCTTTTTTTCTGACTATTTTTATTAAAGTGAACTGAAATACATTTCTACTTTAAAATATGAAACCACAATAATGTGTAACCTACAGTACAAACGAAACATAATTTAAGATTTATTTTTATTTTTTTAATTTTGCAAAACTTAGAAAAATCGTTTCCTCCTCACTTTTCTGTATCCGTTTCAGTTTAGCTTTAGCCTATTTAAAATAAATCAGGCTCGATTTAAAGGTTGAGAGAAACATCTAACAGTCTAGTTTGATATTACAAAAAAAAAAAAAACTAAAACGTTGAGCTCTAGATAATAAAAAATATTACAGAGTAAATCTCTACAACCCACCTGTTGCCTGTAGAAGGACCCGAGGAGGCTGCAGGTCTGGAGCTTGCAGGAGAAGTGATCTGTTATTTGTACTGGTCCAACTGAGAGACCCTCCACTAACCAGGAGGTGTGGTCTAATACGTCGACCTATCACATCTCTACTTGCACATAATAACATTAAATATATTATTTGAACCGGATAAGCCTCTGTGGAGAGAGAAATAATAACTTATAATGTTCAGTACTTAACTTGTATTTATTTATCTTATCCCCGTCTGGACTGCTACCTAATGCAGGCAGACAATGGTACGGTCCTGTTACCGCTTTAAATTAATGTTTTTGTATTTTATCGTGTGAAAAATTCACTTTTATTTCACCCTATTCACAAAGGCGCTGGGTGTGATTTGTATACAGTCCCAGCTCCCCCGTCCCCGTACCCCGGTACCCCCGGTTTCCCCCCTCTCCCAACCAGCCGCAGTGGTTCCTTCCAGTCGCACCGCCCCATCGCCTGGGAGCAGCGAGCTTCCGTACCGCTCCTTCTACCGCTGTCAAATAAGGGACACAGCCGCCAGCTAGCGCTATGTTATCACGATCCAGATGTGTTTACCGGACGTTTGGCCGATCTCTGTCAGCGGTGCACCAGGTAGGAAGGAGGAAGAAGTGAACTGGCTCCATGTTTTAAATCTAAAAGCGTTTTTTTTTTATTTTTCATCTGATTAAAACAAGATCCAGCTAGCTGTTCGCTAGCAGCCACATACGTTAGCTTGTTGCAGCAGGGCCTCGCCTACCAAGGACAGACGGACAGACAGACCCTGACAGCTCCAGAGGCTCTGCCACTGAGCTCAGGTCTGACAGGGAGCTGAGAGCAGTGTCCCGTTAACTGTCTGACTCTTACTCCAAGACTACAAACCGCACTTAATGTTAGCTTTCAGCCCCAAAGTCATAACACGAGTAGCTAGCGTTAACAAGCTAACAACAATAACCTCTGTCCCCCCTTTTATTTATTTATTTATTTATTTATTTGTTTGTTTGTTATTATTATCTACATTTTAAATGACTCAATAACTGGTTTGACTCTACGAGCAATCTAGACAGGCTAATGTGAGCATGTTATGGAGCCGTGTGGTAGTAAGACTGGTTGTTGTTGTTGTTGTTGTTGTTGTTGCTGACAGAAATAGCCCCATGTTATGTTGGACATGTATGTGTAAAGGTTGAGGAGGGGGGGTTCAGCTGTCTTGTAACACGATCACGGTTGGTACTAACTTAGTACAATGAGCCTTTAGTACTAACTTGGTCTGGTCTACTGGATGCTGTGATGCTAGTGTTGCTAATTAAAGGGGTCTTCAGAAACAGACTCAGTTGCATGTTGATGAGGTTCAGTTGGTTAAAAGTAATGCAAAACAACAGCTCTGCAGTAAAGTGTGGCTTCATGAAGAGAGTCTTGTGTTGACACAACTTAGAGTCATTTTGTTGGCTACAGTTTGTGTTGATGTTGGATTGTGTTGCATTATACCGACTGGACCCTGTTTATAGCAGTGAGGTTGAATAACAGAAACACCTCTCTGTATAATGCAGTTTGGAACAAAACTACATCCAAAATGACCGTACAGGTGAATCAACACCTCTGAAAACTCAACATTATACCCTCCATGAAGATAGTGTTTATTGCACGGTGGTTGAATTAGACTGCATTGGTTTTAGCTATGTGTATCTAATAATTAACTAGTAACTAGTGTTACTGCAAATAATGATTGGTTTCATTATCAATTAGTTTAACTTTTGAGGAACTGTTTTACATTTCTGCATTAAAAAAATGACTTATGATCTACAGACTGAATAATTGTTTTAGCTCCTGATATAAAGGGTAGGGGTACCCGATCCGTCTGGAGTTTTAACTAAGGAGGAGACTGTTCTAGTGGAACACATTGAAAGGGTTAATGCAACAAGACAGAATTAAGTTAAATATGTTGGTGATTCATCCAGCCATTGTTGTACTCTCGGCCCTCCATGGAACAGCAGTTGTTCTTGTGACTTTGTGGCTGCGTGCCTACACACGCTTCCATCTATTGTAAATCATTTGGTCCATTTCTGAAAACTCCACCCTCATCTGGCATCCCACATCAGTAGGTTTAGATTGGGATCAAAAGGGACTCCGCAAGACAAACATCCATTTAGAAGCAGCCAGAACTAGTCAGACTTCTTCACCAGAGGCCCTGCCCTCTAAATACCCACCCAAGACCAAGACATGACTCATAACATACAGCAATGCAGCGGTTAACTGTAGAGCTGCCTGTTTTTGTCAGCATTAGAAAGTCCACTGGTATGACTGAAAGTTAGACTGAAAGTTAAAACACCCTACGCACTGAAACCCTACCCATTAAAGTTGTGTAGTGGTAAACCCCCCCAGATCTTGATGCATCTCCGTCTATAATCGCCAAAAGCCCCGCTCATTAGATATATGGCATTTTGCTTTGTGACATAACACATTTGCTCATTTCCTTTAAAGTTATATGTTTTATAAAACTGTAAAAGCTGCAACAATTAATTGATTTAGTCAATTAACAGCAAATTAATCTGTGACTGTTTTGACGAGCCATTAAACATTAAAGCAAAAATGCCCCAAATTCTCTGCTATCTGTTTTCTAATGTCTCCAACTTTCTGTTTTATATCATTTAAAACTGAATATCATTTGGCATTTGGCGGGTTTATTGATTAATCAAAAAAATGCTCTGCAGATTTAGCTGATGAAAATAATTGTTCGTATGCAGCTCTAGTTCATTGATGTGGTGTCAGTAGAGGTGGTCTTTGTTTCAGTCAAGATGAACTGCATAGTGAGTTTTTAAAAGCAGGATTAGTGTCATTATTCTGTTTTTGTGTCAGAATTTACTGGTGAATTTATTTAGATGTTTTACGGATTAAGTAGATTAAAAACATTTCATAATTTAACCCAAGTGTTAGATTTAGCGTTAGATTTCGCCACTTTAAAATTACAAACACCACATATACATGGATACATGTGAAACAGATTTTTTTTTCTATCTTTTCAGGCCAATAATGTGCTCGTCCGACAAAGTGCATCAGGTAAGTGTGCTCTTAAGTAGATTAGACTTTTAGCTGGATTTGAGGACCTCATCAGTTAATGCAACATCTAAGACTCCAGTCTTCATTTTATTGCTCATGAATAAACAAGCTCTATGAGTGGATCATCTGTAGAATCAGTAATGCTTATTAAATGGCTAAGATGCCTCAGGAGCCCACAAGTGGTTAATTGTAGATTTCAGAGAACTCCGTTCATGTCTCACGTTAGATCCTCGGGAGAAGCAGTAGTTACAGCTTTTGTTGATTTTCTTTCTTCTTTCTCTCTTTTTTTCCTTCTTTCATCCTAAGGTCTGTCCGTCTGCAGCCAGCTAGTTTACAGGAATTCTCAGCCGTAAGTGCTTTCTCCCGTTGTGTTTTCTGTCTTTTAATGCCCTTCTGTAACCACTTCATGTGTACAAACTCACAATGATGCATTGTTAGAGTAAGAGTTCTCTAAAAAATGCAAGTAATTGTTTTGTTTTGTTTTCTTGTAGATGTGAATTTCCATCATCAGCTAATGTCTTCCACATCAGATACTTCAAGACATCTGCTGTTCACAGTACGTGTTGCAACAGTTTTCAGCGTTATGTACTGCCATTGACTCTGCTCAGTGTTTTAACTCACGGCAACTTTTGTTTTGTTGTGCAGGGGATGAGGTAGTCACAGTCAAAACTCCTGCATTTGCAGAATCTGTTACAGAGGGGGATGTGAGGTGGGAGAAAGGTTGGTATTTAATCAACATATTGTAGGTGAAACATTGTCAGTGTTTCACAGGTATCAGTCCATATCGTATTACCAATGAGCCAAATGTAATACATGTTCTTTCATTGTGTTCTAGCTGTGGGCGACTCGGTGAAAGAAGACGAGGTGGTGTGTGAAATTGAGACTGACAAGGTATAAGATAAGAATGATCATCAACCTAAAATCATCTGTATGTTGTTTTTGTTTTGTTTGGAGTGTAAGAAAATGACTCAAACCTTTTTGTATTTCCAGACCTCAGTACAAGTCCCCGCTCCAGCAGCTGGTGTCATTGAGGAACTGCTGGTTCCTGATGGAGGGAAGGTTGAAGGAGGAACGCCCCTCTTCAAACTCCGGAAAGGAGGTGTGCTTAGTTGAACGTCTGTTATCATTTTATCACTGAAACAAACAGTTTTTATTCTATACGTTATTATATGCTAGTGTCAGTGATACCTGAGTATCACCACAGTTTAGATACTTTACCTTGTTGTACAGAAAGGCTTTTTTGTTTGTTTGTTGCATTACATAAGCCAAAGATGAGATGTGTCAGTGTGGATTTCCTTTCAGTGCTTGGTGTTGTTTTCAGTGACTGCTGTAGTATAAGTTACATATGCTGCTGAGAACCTACTCTGATTGGTTAAAAATGAAGGAGGAGGCAAAATGTGTATTTTGTGGATCGTTGGACCCAAACTACATTCGTCCTTTTTTTTTTTTTTTTTACTTCTGTTACCTCAGCCGCTGCTGCCGCCGAAGCAGCTCCTCCCCCAGCTGCAGAGGCACCAGCTGCAGCCCCTCCACCGCCACCACCTCCAGCTTCAGCCCCCACTGCCATGCCTCCAGTGCCACCACCAGCTGCCCAACCAAAACCCGGTGTGTTTTCTTCTCTTACAATATAAACCTACATGCTGCAGAAAGCATGTATTTATCATTACTGTACTGTTTGTTTCTGAATAGGCCACCAGCACTATTTCTTGTCTCTTAATGTCACATTCTGTCTTTCTCTCTTTGTCAAGTTTCTGCTGTGAAGCCCACTGCTCCAGCACCAGCTCCTTTACCAGTAGGAGCCAGAGGAGAAAACAGGGTAACACACACATATGCTAATGACACACTTGTTACGTTTCATTCATGTGCTTTGTTTCTTTTATTGCATTCAGATATTACAGGAGATGGTTCACAGATGGTTTGTTCTCCTTCTGTCCAGGTGAAGATGAACCGTATGCGGTTGAGGATCGCCCAGAGGCTAAAGGAGGCTCAGAACACCTGCGCCATGTTGACCACCTTCAACGAGGTGGACATGAGGTGAGCCACAGCAGCTCCGGGAAGGATTATTACAGCTCCCTTCGTAGCATTTACATTAATCTAGCTGGGATTGGATTACAAGCCTCAGTACAAAAAAGAACCAGATTAACATTTCATGGCAGAAATTGTGCACACCAATATCACCCAGTGATCATCAGATAGATTTGACTATAGGGAACTTTTTTTGTCAACAAATCATTGGCACAGATTCTCTAATATGTTGTCAATGTTGTCTCAGCAACATTCAGGAGATGAGGACAGTCTATAAGGATGCTTTCTTGAAGAAACACAGCATCAAACTGGGTTTTATGTCTGCGTTTGTGAAGGCTGCAGCATACGCTCTGACTGACCAACCTGCTGTCAATGCCGGTACGACAGCACAGACTTACTTTTGAACTCTCTGTTGTGTAGCAGACATAGACGTATATTATACTTTTTACGTTTGTTTTCTTTTTCACAAACTTTCTTCCTAAAATGTTTTTTAACTGCAGTTATTGATGATACAACCAAAGAGATTGTCTACAGGGAGTACGTAGACATCAGTGTTGCTGTGGCAACTCCAAAGGTATAACTTTTGGCTCTATAAAACTATATTTATGTATAAAATGTAAATGTAATGTTTCTGCTCAATGCTGCGTAACGCTGAATACACTTTAATAACAAGCATTTGTTTAGGGGCTTGTTGTACCAGTGATCCGTAATGTTGAGACCATGAACTTCACGGACATCGAGAAAGCCATTAATGCATTGGGAGAAAAGGTAAATAGCTTGGTGCTGAATCATTGCATTGTTTTCAAATCTTTAATTGACGAGGAAGCAGATGTTTGTCACCTTAGACTGCAGTGCAAGTTCGAATCAAATAAATAGTACATTTTTATTTACTTCCATCACAAAAATGATAAAATCTTGTTGTGTGCCCAAGGCTCGTAAGAATGAGCTTGCTGTTGAAGATATGGATGGAGGCACCTTCACCATCAGCAACGGAGGCGTGTTTGGATCAATGTTTGGAACGCCCATCATCAACCCCCCTCAATCTGCCATCCTGGGCATGCATGGCATCTTTGAGCGACCTGTGGCCATCAATGGCAAGGTGAGAATTTGTGTGTCTGTAGAAAGACAGCAACAATTTTTTCTGCGTTTCAAAAGAAAAAATGAACGAGTAAACAATTTAACTGCTTTCTGGTTGGGCAGGTCGAGATCCGGCCCATGATGTACGTGGCGCTGACGTATGACCACCGACTCGTTGACGGCAGAGAAGCGGTGACTTTCTTACGTAAGATCAAAGCGGTGGTGGAAGATCCAAGAGTGTTGCTTCTGGACATGTGATGTTTCTCCCACCACATTACTCTCATTTAAAGATAGCTCAGCTGCATAAACTGAGTTCCACATCAAAAAAGAAACGCACAATCGTACAAAATCACCTAAACAACTTCTGTTGTCTCTTTTACTGTTCAGTCCGACTGCAGCAGGACATATAAGTCTAGTTCCAACACTCCATATGGAGCTTTTAATACGTGGTATTATCAACCAAGCTAAAAGATTGCCATCTTCTATGAGTAATTGTTTTTGCTACATTTGAATAAAAGAGTCACATTTACATTACATGTCTTAAACATTGGCATATACAGGCTTAAAATGTTAAATATAACTCACTTATGGGCGTGTTGCTGTTATACACGTGCTCCTCAGCTGGACATATGAAGCAGCAGACAAATACTTGCTACATCCTTGTCATAGTTGTGTAATCATGAAACAAAATGGCTTCTCCAGGCAACAGTTGGCTGCATGACTTTCTCCCTTGCTTGTTAGTTGGTGCTCCTGGGCCACTTTTTCCACAGCGGGGCCAAGCAGAGCTGACTCAGATTAGTTCAAGATGTTTTTAATGTTAACACAGGCTTGAAAGAATTCCTCGGTTTGCTGCTAGTCATTGTTGCCATCAACAGTCTGGGAAAAGTAATCAGCGACCTGTCTGACGAGCATGTGTTCGGATCAGTTATGTCCCTGCTTGACACCGTCATCCGTGTCCTGTCTTTTTATTTTAATTTGTGTTAAACCTTGCCTTGCACTTGTCGGGCAGATTCTTTGGCCATCAAAATCTAAAAATGTTGATCAAACTGTTGTGAGCTTTTAGTAAAACTGACACATGAATTCACTGTTCATTAGGAGAAACTGTACAAAACAAACCAGACACTGTTTGTTTTTTTTATATATATATATATATACACACAGACATGCATACAGTGTATATATATATATATATATATATTGTTTATGGGCAATATGTTGGGAGTAATGTTCAAAACGCACAATTTGGCAGCAGGTTTTTATGTTGAGCTCCAGTGTTGGATTTTCATTGTACTATCCTATATATAAAATACTTGTATCTATTTAAAGAAGCAATTTTAAACATTAAACATCTCAAGAGTTTTATGTACTAAACTTGTCTTGCACTTTGACTTTACAAACATTGCACATAATTGCTGTATTACAGTAGGTCCAACAAGTTGATACATTTTCCTTCAATTAACTAAACCATTAATCTGGAACATCTGATAATCAATTAATCCTTTAAAAAGGGTCCAGTGTGAAGGATTAGGTGGCATTTGGCATTGTAGACTCCCATCGCTTCACCCTCCCCTTCCAAGCATAAAGGAGAAACAACGATGGCAGCGAAAAACACAAATGCCCCTATCTAGAGTCTGTGTTTGGTTTGTCCCTTCTGGGCTACTGTAGAAATATGGCGGTTCAACATGGCTGACTCCATGGAAACCGACCCGTGACTTCTGTAGATATGAAAGGCTCATTCAAAGGCAACAAAAACATAGCGATTCCCATATTCAGGTGATTATACACTAATGAAAACATACATATAATATTCCATTTGTGCCAATAGAGCCTCCTAAATGTTACAAAGTGGACCTTTAAGTTACGTTTTGAGCAAAAATGTTGGTTCTGGTTCCACCCTCAAAAGTTTTCCTGCTTTAGTTTGTCTTATATGATCATAAATTTAATCTCTTTGGGTTTTGAATTGTTGTTCACAAAACAAGACATCTGAAGATGTCGATAAATATGATATTTAGCTTTTTAAACTACTTTCTTTAGTTGTATAGACCAAATAATCGATTATCTTATTTCCCATGAATTTATAACAAACAGAAAGGTCACTTGCAGCACTGTAATTGTTTATGTAATGCCATGTGTACACTGCACTAGTTCACATTTCACCTCAACTTTCATCTCCTAACAACAGACTTTGTCCTCTTTTTTGAAAACGGCAAAATAAAAGCACAAGGCTGAGGCAGTGAACGTCTTCGTGGTCAATCTTGGCATTTTATCTTGTGCCAAGTCCATTTTGCTCCCGAATTCTCTGCTGGAGTTGAATTTTGCTGCCAAAAACTGATCTTCAAAGCCTCATTAGCCAGCCTACTGCTCGGCTCTTGAGAATCTCCAAATAATGGGATCATCTCTGACAAAGTCTTAAGGGTTGATCGGCCCTTTCTCCCACTTCACAGACACAGGCTCAAGTGTGTGCAGCTGTGTATGATACCCCTTCAGTATTTCTGTTTACTTTAATAATCACAGGGGACAATGGGTCCTAATGTACGTCTTTGTTTCTCTGCCAGCACCTACACAAATGTCTGAACAACACTGTTTGGAGGAAAAACACAGAATTCATTATGAGAACACAAAAAACCAAACATTAGATTACCATGAGAATACTGGAGGTACTAATGGGCCTGAATACAGCAAACAATGATACAAGGGTTCCTTTAATTTAATTATTTACTTTTATTACCGCTCAAGATTCCATTAGCGCTTTCGAGATCATGCTAATTGGCAGCGTGTGCCAGTGGGTGCATAGATATCTGAAGGGTTTGTTGGCAGGTTTTTTGTTTCGTCTTCAAAATTTGGCCAAATCTGTGAATTTCCAATTGGACTGCTCAATAAGATGTGGGTTTTAAGTCTTTGTATCCATTCAGATGAAAGATGGCCCATTAGAAATTGGCAGCTAGCTGCTTGTTTTCATTAAGCCACATCAGAGAGATAATTTACCTAAATTATTCTGTTATTTTTTTTCTATCTTTTCAAATAGCTAATTATATCAATGTTATTATATAAAGAATTGTATTTTAGTCCAACTGAAAGTGTGTGTTTTGAGTTTAAGGTGATACTAATATAAAGAACTAAAATGGTCCATTTATATTTTTCATTCTCAAACACTTTAACTTTTAATTTATTAAGTACACCCTATAAAGTCCTTCAATATGAAAAATACTCTATATTTAGTGGAACAGCTTAACACATTTTGTCAAATGCATAGCCCTTGTATTTATGTACAAACTAATTCCAGTTAACATCCTGTTGTGGTTTTACATTTATTAGATAATTCCATCTTTTCTATGTGTACGCACCGCCCAGGGAAAAGGGAAACATTTTAAGTTACAGGTTAAAAATCGAACAGCTATCGATCTAGACTGAGTTGTCGGATCGGATGACGACAGAAAAGCATCTTTTTTATCTTTTTTTATATATATATATTCAGAGAGTAAATGAAGGGATGAAACTCTGGGGCAACAATGGAGATGAATCTGGAGAAAGTAAAGAAGGTACAAATGATTCAAGATGGAGGAGGAAAAGAGAAACTGATTCAGAATCAGCCCAGGAGTCAGGTGATAGAGTGACATGTGGGCTACAAACTCAACACAAGATTGAAACCTGCTGTAAAATAGCGACTAGCACTGTATAACAACTTTATTAATTTAAATTAATTTGCTGTTTTACATCAGAAACTGCTGATTTTCTATTAAACCGTTCACTTATTTGTTCAGCTTAAACTAATTAATTCAATTTCATATTCCAAACATGTATCTATAACAAAGCCCATATAGAGTGGAGTGAGGGTTTGAGTTGAGATTATTTTCAGAGGGAGACCTGAAGGTTCATCGTTTCATTCATTAATTGAAGACACGACCGGCTGCAAAATATCCTGGGACCTCTCTGGCAGCCGGTTGCCGTCCCTTCAAGACAAATTTTAATTATGAGCAGGGAACTGAATGGCTTTGACTACGATATTCCAGCGAGGAATGCGATAATGAAGAAGCATATCGCACTGACAGCTACTACAGCTCCTCAGATAGTGATACTGACAGCGTTGGACTTAGCGAACCCAATGACGCTGAGGCTGACATGGAAGACGACCACCATGCTGAGGAAAAGGAGACTGTCTGGAAGAGACAAATGTATGTTTTAAACTGAAATGGGAAGTTTAAAAGGGTTGTCGGTGTCCTGATGACCCAGGATACTATAGAGTCAAGCCGTTTGCACATGACTCACTAAGACGAGTGGGTGATATGGTTCCTCATGTCATTGTCTCCCCTGTGGTTACCACTGAAGCCACCTGACAGAAACGGATTGCACTGTTTAATATCGCACCTTGAGACAATTCATCAGCACACCCTTAATAATCCTACCCTGCTGGGCCTGCATAAGTAATGCTGCACATGCATATGCATTAGTGTGCCGTTTCCTTTACAGGCCATTTCATTCAAAGCTAACCAATGTGGCGAAACAACTAGCTTGCATCTGGCCCTATTCTTTCCCTCCTCTCGGTCCTTTGATATGGATGCCAGCTCTCTTTTTCTTCCTCCTCTTGTTCTGTTGTCATACCGTAAGATTATTTTTGGATGGAGAGAATGAGGTAGAGGACCCTGTGGCCCAGCGGCGGACACAGCTGGCAGCGCTCAGGTGGGTGCAGCTGGTTGGTGTCAGAGGTTCAAGTATTCACACTGGACAGAATTGGGTTGAGCAAAGAACGACAGTGCAGGGAGAGAGGAAGAGGGATTCACTGAGGTCATAGGCAGCTGCTATTAGGGCACACCTGTCAGTGGTGCACAATACCATTGGGTTTGTGATGTCAGTTCCTCCTTATAAGTATCTATATTTTGTGAACGTGATATTGTATGGCAAAAAAATTGGAGGACCTACTGCATTTTGTCACATTGCCAGCATATAAAAAAAACAAAATCAAATAGACTCCATTAACTTTTAATTGAAGATATCTCCTCTGTTATCCTCATCTTAGTAGTGCCTGACGTCTCTGTATCTATGACAGCTCAGTGAACTGACTGCAACAGAGAGAGACAGCTCAAAGAGGAAGCTGGATATCACATTACTGTCTGTCAACACAATTTGAATCTGATTTGGGTAAAGTGGAGTCACCAGTGTTCACAAGAAGAGAGAAAAAACATCTCCATGACAACTGAGCTCTGTGTACTCAAAACTGTGGGGTGTTGTTTGAAAGCTCTAGAAAAAGCTTGTAAGTGGACCTTGACTTATTTTGTCAAGCTACTATTTTTCAAGTTATTTTTTAAAACTAAAATCTGAAAATGATCCACATGGTCGGACACCACTAACTGTCAATGTTATAGCATAGTTTTTTTTAAATAAAGTTTTGGTGACCTGACCCAATAAAACTAATAATTTTGGTTGTTTACTTATTTTTTTTCATGAAAAGTTGCATGTGCTGATGTATGTGCTCCTTCTTGACGACATATACACACACCAGCTGAAGACTAACCTGTAGATTATGTTGGCTGTGCAGGTCTTGTCAAACTTCCTGATCAACCACTCAAGCTGTCTCTGATCAAGAGCTACGTTCGCTGCCTGCAGGCAATAATACATATCTGAGTACGTCAGCCCAGTTAAGTAATCTTCTGATATATGTCTTGTTCTCATTAACGACATGTACTAATGTATGAGGTTTCCAGTGCAATGTGCCTGACCTGTACAGCCTTCCTGAAGGCAGAAGTGGAGACATTCATGGTTGCTTCTTTATCCAAAGACTGGAAGAAGTCCATGATGCTCTCATTTCGCTCTTCAAGGAATTTCTATGAAAGAATCCAGATCATGTTTCAAGTTTGTGAAACACATAGTTCAACAGTACACATAAAAAGAAAGAAATGATCTCTTTAGGATACGTTGGACATTTTTTTTGTAAAGTCAAGAGCATAAACGTTCAATATTCAGGTATTATCCATCACCAGATCTCCCTCCCTTCCTGACCACTGACCTGAAAGATCTGAAGGGCCAATAAGTTCCTGGTGACGGAGCGTGTGACGCTGTACGGAACATCCAGAGCAGGACGATTCTGATGGACTTTTTCCAACAGCTCCACAAAGGCCTCGCACACAAACACGGTCTGCATACACACACACACACACAGGCACACACACAGGCACATTTGTAGCACTGAAGTCATATTTATATGAACTCATACCCATATGCTGAGGTGAAATTTGTTTTTTCTGCACTTACAGAAATATCGATCTCCGCCAATGCTGATTTCATGTTGTTACTAACTGTTTTGAGCAGCGTCAGCGCTCCGGTATTTGACAGGGGATTATGGGAAAGCTGAACAAAATATATACACACACACCAAATCTTACATTCAACATAAATTAACATACAGCTTCTTAAGAGTGCAAAAAGTTTCAAATCACCTTGATGATGATCAAACACAACTTAAAATACCAATGCTACGGAATTTTCCCTTTTGTCACCTTAAGGACCCTGAGGGTGTCGTTGGAGGCCAGACCCTGGCAGAGCGGTGTCACCGCCAGGTCATCTATATGGTTACTGCTGAGGTCCAGCAGCACCAGCGTGCTGTTTTGTTTCAGTGCCTGACCCAGTGACTCTGCTTCCATGTGGCCAAAACCATTCCATGACAGGTGGAGCTGCTTTAGAGTCGAGTTAACCTCAGGAAAGGAAAATGTAAGCAACAAACAGCTATGGTAGTGGACAGATCGTTAAAAAATACACTGAAGGCTTTTGCTTGAGTGTGTTAATGTTAGTTACCCTCAGCCCAGCACTCAGAGCCACTGCACCACGCATGCGAAGGTTATTCCAGCTCAAATTTAGGATTTCAATACCTACATTTGTGGCTTTGAGAAAGGGGAAACAAATTTAAAGGGTTACAATGTTTTAAACTGACACCATTCATTTCTGAAAAGACATCAGTATATTCAGTATTGGTGGTAGTTTTGACTAGCATTTCCAAATTGTACTTCTTTTCATCTGGTATCACTTAACTTTGCTGCTGGAGCTATAGACTATCAAAATCAATGGAGAAAAGCACCCGCACACTCAAATCTGAGCAAGAATCGTATTTATTTTGAGAGACCTGCTTCGAGGCAGAACATGTGGAAAGTGGAAGCAGCGGTACACAAAGTTAAAAGAACATCACTTGATTAGCCTTAATGCAGAACACTTGTGTCAATCAGTTGGGCTTGAGTGTCTTCATCAAGGGAATTGTAGTCCAAGGCATGATGGACTACACGCTAAAGACTAACTATAGAGACGACAAGCGAAACATCGAACATTAAAGTTTCAATTTCAAGTGTTCTATTATAGTTCAATCACAGCACAACACTCAAGTCGAAATACTCATTAAGATCCAGTGGTTGCAATGTTCCTACGCAGTGGATCCAAAAAAGCTTTTTCTGACATAACCTCCTAAATTGCACTAACCAGAAAATTTGATTTAAAGAAATATTTTACAAGTTCAAAGCCAAATAAAATCCTTATATCAACATTTGTAAGCTATACAGACGTTCTGCAGTCAGTAGCACCTCTCAGATGTAAGTTAACTGCTGTCGTTGTAAACAGAGACTTAAAGCCTGGATGTCAGTCCAACAATATACCCAAACACAGTTTTATCATCTTTTTGAAAGAAAATATGCACAATGGCTGTTGTATTATTTCAGTTTATATTTTCTTACATAAAAAAAGAATAAACATTTAATTTGGAGATAAATTAAATGAATCACTCTCGTAGTTTCTTCTAATACAGTCAATAAATGAACTACTGTACCTAACATCTGACCCAGGTGTTCTCCTCCAGCACAGAACTTGTTGTAACTGAGGTCCAGCTCTTGGACCACATTATCAACCTGAGGAAGGAAGAAAAGATCGTATTTGAAGCCTATTTGCAATTTGGACTTGATTCATCTGTAAGCACGTGGTCTTGAAAAATGTGTCAGAGCTCAAATGCTCTTCCACCACCTGGATTCAGCAGTCAACGCTTTGTACAAACCTTTAAAGCTTCAGTAAAGCACTTAGCAGCAGAATCATCAAAATCATTTCCTAAGGGAAGAAGGAGAAATTCATTTAATTACTTATCCAAAACAGAGTTTACTTGTCCTCGTACCTTCCACTGTATTGCAGTGATGCTGAGGGGCACATAAAAAGACGTAGTTGATCACCGGAGAGTTTGAGGTATTTGATGTAGTAATTGTCTAACAGCATTTTGGAGATTATGTCCGCTCCTTCAAAGCGCAGCTGGTTGTTGGACAGATTCTGAAGTGAAGACAAATAGTTATTTTAAAAATGTATTGTTTTTTGGAGTTTGGAGTGCTGATACCACAGATTTAAACAGAACTGAGAACTGTATTCAACACGATAGTTTTAGAATAGTTACTAGACTCTGAATGGTGATGTTTCTTTGAAGCATCTCCATCAAATAGCGCGCCCCCTCTGCCCCGAGTCCGTTATCTTCCAGCTCAAGGTTGGTGATGACAGTGTCACTCTAAAACAGGAAGAAATAAACTAATTAAATTAATGACAGAAAATCTTCATCAGGTCATATTTCTTTACATCTTTGTATCTGTCTACATAAACTACAGTGAAAATGTATAAACACTACAGAATTAAGACCTCATATCAGGACATTAGTATCTTAAAAAGAGCCCTTACCTCAACCCCATCCATAACTTTACCATTAATGATAGTTATTAAATTGATCAACTTTTTTTCATTAAAGTTAATATCTCGATGAAGGGATTGAAGGCCTTTACCTGCAGAGCTACAGCCAGAGCTTTGGCCCCCACAGGACCCACACCATAGTGGTTCAGGTTGAGATTGGGTTCATCCAGGTTGCGGAGGAAAGAGGAAACGGGAACGGCCCCTGTCCACTGACAGGCCTGGAGGTACGACTCAGCACGGGAATAACTCTTTCTTTGATTGGCATCTGAAAAGATTTGGGACAATGCCGATGAAAAAGGAGGAAGAGGTGAGGAGGTCGAGGACCGTCCATCAATATTATCCTCACTGTGACCTACTGTCTGATTCCAGATCAGTGTCGTACTCATCGCCACTGTCACTCTCTTGGACCTGGGTTGTGGGCAGGATGGACGGATCAGTTGGCTGCTGCTCCTCCTCTTGCTGCTCCTCGCTGAGCTGGAGAACGTCACTGTCCTCCTCATACTGATCCATCACACCACAGGAAACCTCACCTGTATCTGCACAAAACCCCAAGGAGGAGACAGGTGAGGGCAGATGTTAGGTTTTTGTAGCAGTAATAGTGAGAATAGAAATACCAGTGATGGAGGGTCAGGGCAGTTAAGTACAGTCAACATTTTGATGGCAAATATTGTACTTTTTACTCCACTACCTTTATCTTAAAACGTTGGTTTCTTAGCGGGTTCATATAATCAACAAATAAATTATGATGTAAATATTACATATTAAAATAAACCCTCATTGATCCCTGGGAGAAATCACCATGCTACCCAGCAGATAGAGTATATACAGTAGTTAAAATTAGTCCAACGCTTTAAACATTAAAGTGGCATTAATTCATAAATAATTATAATACTATAATATAACGTTAGTTACACTATCTATGAAATGATTATTTGATGCCAATATTTTTGTTCTTTTACTTAAGAATTTGAATGCATGGTTTTGACTTGTAAGACAGCATTTCTAATAATTTTTTTCATTCATTCATTTAATGAATGAATGAATGAATTAATAATAATAATAATGATTATTTTATATAACTCAGGTTAGCGTTAGCATTTCCTCCCAGCAGATTTCAATAAGCTGACGACGGTTGGAGCAGACCAACGTCTGCAAGGTGGAAACCTTTAAACTGGACCAAAAACAAAAGTAATCTGCATCAGCATTGTAAATAAAACATAAAGATTTCTGTTTAACTTGTAAAACGTACAGAAAACAGGAGCCTACCTGAGCAAAGGTTGTCACTTTATGGAGCTAAAATATGAACGTTTTACGACGGGAAACCAAAGGTTGTTGCTATGGTAACTTACTCCTCCAAGAAAAACTCCGGTTGATGGAGGCAACAACAAAAACAACGACGAGAAAACAAAAGAAAACGGAATATGTTGACAAGTGATTCATTACTGTTTGTCGTTACAGTATCTGACCACATATCGATCATTATTTGGTTACAACATAACAACCTTGTCAAGTCATATCGGGTCTGCTGCAAATCATGTAGTTCATAAAAACAGCCACTAGATGGAGCCGTTGACCGCAGACTGAGTCTCTGTTGTACATCACAGGAGATTAATAAAAAAATTTAATTATTGTTTTATAAGATGTGTCATGTTAATTCAGCTCGGCTGTGACTAGAGTTGAGTGGTGTTGTAGCATTACCATACACTGTCATGTGTTCTTATTATTTAGTCCACCCGCTGTAGTTGTCAGACAGAGCATTACACCAGAAGTCTTAGTTTTAGCAACCCATGGAGGAGTTCATTCATTTACCTGTTTTATGGCTCATGTAAGCAAGTTTATAAAGGAAATTAAATCTGTATTGTCAAGAGTTACACTTATATTAACTGAATATATTAATTAGACTATAATCGGGATCCAACAATAGTGCTTTTTTGTGTGAATTATATTTTTTTAAGTATATGACTCATCTGTGGTGACTATCCAAAATAAAATGTCAGTCATTGCAGTGAAGTTGAGGTTCTGATATTCCTCCATCAGCGACACATTTTGCTTGTCTTGTAATTACATTGCAATGGTAAGTAACTGCATAACAAGTAAAAAAAGGCAGCTTTAAAGAAAGTAATAAAATGTAGGTAACTTAAAATAGGCAGAGTCAGCACTAACTGGAGTGGTACGTGGTCAAGTTGGTGTCGGCAGCTTTCTGTTCAGTCTGCAGATGGTGGCATATTTCTCCTGCTGAGCCCTGAATAAGGGGAGCTGCAATAATTAAGCATTGATGACCTTTTCAGAGTTTTGCAAATGAAAGAAAAGCCCTGATTTTGGCAATAGGCCTCAACTGAAGAAAACATGATTGCACAACTTTTGTCACTTGATTTGTTGTGGTGTCATGACTGGGAGGAACAAATACAAGGACTTCACTGAAGTAAAACAGATAATGCCCATCTGATGGAGTAAAAACAAAAAAAAAGACATGCCCTTTCTTGTAGTTAGAAAATAAAATTTAATCTATTCAGGGTACCAGAGTCATACATAGCAGATACAGGTCCAGAACAGACATTGAAATACTGCTCAGCTGAAAGAGATTTCTTGTTTTCACAGCTGTTTGACAGCGCAACATGACAGACACAGACTGGAAAGATTAAAAAGACAAAATCACATCAAGTGATTAAGAAGCATTTCATATATGTTTATGTATACAAAGCAGTATAAAACAATTACAATAATGGACAGACAAAAAAAAAGACAAGGGTGTAAACATTTCGTGTATATGTGCTTTTCATGACGCCAGCGTCACCACAAATCGGATCAACCGGTAACTGCCATCGTCGAGGCAGAGTATAGAAATCAACATTACAAAAAACAAAAAAAACTCTACTCCGTCTGGTGTACTTGTATTGAGTACTAAATACTAAAAACTCTACACCTGTATATTTCGGCTAGAATACAAAAGGAAAACTGCAGAACATTAAGCCTCTGCATTGAAACAATGCCACACAATCTACTCAGGGCTTTTGTAACAGAGCACCATATTGATATTAGTGTGTTTCCTCAGCGTTGTTTCCAGTCGTACTCTACTGTTTCCATTGGTCCCTTTATGTAGAGATGGTTGAAGTAACAACTAGGCACAGTGGGTGTCAACAACAACACTTAATGCAGAGATGAAACTGGGTATTTTCCAGTCTTCCAATGGACAGAGCCAGCTCATGTAGCAGTACTAAGGAAGCGGTACAACCTCAGGTCTTTGGGCAGAGTCTCCAAAAGTCTTCCACTTGGAGCTCAAGTGCTTGTTTAGAAATTTATTGCCAGTTATGTTTTCCATTTAAATGGCTGCCACGGTGATGCAAGTCTGGGCTTCAGGGACTCCGCGTCCCTGGTTTCCTGGTTTCACTTGGCGTCGGGGGACAGCTGCTCCAGCAGGGGGTTGGCCTCACTCTCGGGTGTTTTGACGCTGTCGGTCCTCACGATGCAGGTGGGCCGGTGGAGGTTGAGCATCACCATTAGCTGCTGCCTCTCTAGACGGAGCTCCTCGATCTGGGCCTTCAGCTCCGAGTTCACCATCTCCAGACGCTCCGATTCCTGGACAGAGATGTTGAATCATCAGATATTGCTGCACAAATGCATAGTTCAGAGCAGTTCGGAGAGGAAAAATGATCCATGACTTTTAAGTCAGGTGTAGTGAGGCTTTCATTAGCCTGACTGTGTCGGGCTGAATGGCTTGAATGTGAACCAGCAGTTCAGGTTAACTGAAGTCAGGCTATTCGTGGCTACCACCCTGAGCTGCTCATCAGTATGCAATGCTGTGTCATGAACTCACCCTTTGAAGGAAGTCAGTCCGTTCCTTCTTTTTGTTTCGGCATCGCGCTGCTGCTACCTTGTTTTTCTCTCGTCTCCGTTTCCTTCGTTCCTCATCTTCATCCATCTGCAAAATACAATGCATTGTTAGTATAGGAAACAGGCATTATACAGCTGTATTTTATATGAAATATCACTAAATTACATAAACCTACAACCAATAGTGATTAGCTAGGTGTTGTGCAACCTCTACAGTAATTCTTGTTGTAAGCACTAGAGGGGGCAAAATTCAACTTACAATATTAATCAGTTTATGCCCACACACTGCATATAAACTGTGTGTATCATAATAATCCACTAATTTGAATCCTAAAACTTTAAATGACAGCGCCTTAAGTAATCAGCTCAGAAAACTATTGATGTTAATATTTAACAGATAATGAGATCATATTTTATATACCAAGCCTGCTGTCAGGACATTTACATTTTATTCATCGTAACTGGCAGAAAAATACTAAATCATTATTAGTCATTACTCATCACAAACAGCTCTCTTCCTTATTCTTTCCATCACTTTAGACTAGAAACATAAATCAGAACGGCTTGCGTGTGATACTGAAATACATTTTTTGGTTGGTTAGAGACAAATGTTAGAGACTGATGTAATTTTCTAAGAAAGTGATAAAACCTGGTTTGATAAAGGGCTTTGAAACATCCAGAATCTAGTCAAGTCAGTTTAATTTATATAGCCCAATATCACATTCCACAATCTGCCTCAAGGGGCTTTAAAATCTGTACAGCATGACACCCTCTGTGCTTAGACCCTTGATTCAAGTGGAAAAAAACCCCACCCCAAGAACAGTCCACTCTATTAACCCTACTAGTTTTTGTTCTCTGACTTAAGTACGTCTTTTACACACCCTACTTCTGCACTATTTCCTCTTTTCTCCTCTTCTCTCTTCCTTCCCACCTCTGTTTTGATGGCCAGCGGCCTCTTCCCCAGCCTCCCCAGGAAATGCAGCGGAGACAGCATGGTGCCCAGCTGTCGAAAGTCGGCCAGCTTGAGTTGATCAGTGAGTGTGGTGGCCGAGATGCCCGCCAGCGGGCCCAGGCTGGGCAGGGAACCCGCCGCCAGCGAAGGGTCAGGTATCTGTCCCGGCATCATGTCCGACCCGGCCACCACCGCCGCTACGGGGAGAGAGAGAAAAGAGGAAGAAAAGGGTTAACGATTAGGACGAGAGAACTCAACGCTACTTTTTTAGTACATACAGTGGATAGCAAAGTGTAGACAAACATTTTAAAAATTATAGTTCACAATTGTATAGCAATAGATCATTCATCCACTCGCTGGTGGTAACATGAGCCATACGTTCATACCCCTCTTCCATTATCATATTGCAGCTATCTGACACTCTCATTTCTCTTTATTATGATCTTATATCGTTGGCATTCTCTCCACAAAATGATTAATTTACTGTCTTCTGTCCTTGTCATCAAACATCTTTCTAAATATGGGTTGCTGTTTCCAAGAATGCATTCAAACGTTGACAGCTTTGACAGCTGTGTTATCTTCTTAGTCAGCAGCCGGTGAAAAAACAAACTTCACACTGTCAGCAGCTAAACACACTTCTCTGTAGTTTCACATGCAAAGGGGAGCCATGAAAACCTTTGATCACGTAAACTCATGGCTATATTCTACACTTACACTTCTGATTATTTACCAAGCGGTTTTCATCCCGAATGTTCATTTGTTTTTTAGTCAAGGGGATTCGAAAAAAGGATATCAAAAGCAATCATGTCAAAAGAGAGCGGGTAACACTCATGCGTTCCACTGCCACCCTCTTTCAACAATTTGGGGTAGTTTGGAGGGGTTGACCACAGCACTTTGTAATGTAATCAGGGAGGAATGAGGGACAGAGAGGAAAGGAGAACTTGTGAAGGCCTTAAAGGAAGTGGCTGGAGAATTAAGACGTCTCTCTAATTACTGTAAGACCAAGAGTTGGAAAACTTCTGATGGCGAAATAAAAAACAAATGTTACAGATGGGAACAGTGTAACATGAGCCGGCCGTACCCTGCCCATCCCTGCAATCTCTGAGGAGAGACCAGCGAATTTTAGAAAAGCCCTGACAAGAAATTGTTCCTCTTACTGTTCAGTATTTATGTAGAAAAATAAATACAGTGAAATAAATAAATATCCAGTAGATGGGTAATAGAGGCAGCTGCCTTTTCACATTTTCTGCTGATGAAATGTTACACCAGATAGAAATGTGTTTTTGACAAAGAAAAAAAACCCAGCATGACTGATACAACTGAACAACTGATACTTCAATAACTTTGGCTTGGTGACAAAATGTCAGCTAGGATTACTGGATAAACCCAAAGCTACCAGGAGTTTTAAAAAGATTGATGATATCAGTGTGACTTCTACATTAAGTCTGAGTATTTGTCCAAAGCTGAACCTCTACAGGTTGGGCACGAACCGAACAAAAGCCCCTCTCATATGGAACCAACAAAGACGTGTATTGTAAGGTGCTGCGGAAACAGCTGACTACGCTGGTGGGTGACTAGCTGACAGGCCGACTGTATTGTAAAGTTAAATCAAGTTTTTCTTTCTTTGCTACTTTTTTTTTTGCAGGGCTGAAAGTCTTGCTCTATTACAAAAGCCATAGAAGAGGTAATGAAAAAAACAAGGTTATGTAACTCTATTCTAATGTACTCCACCCTGCTTATGGGCTGGTCTCAAAGTGTTTTTACAGTTGGACTAGACTTTACTGTCGAGCGTGGTGGAAACCAAACAGCTCACTTTTAGCATGGAGAAATCAATTCTGACGTGCAATAGTGTCGCTTCTCTGCTGAATCACTTAGACTCAGACCTATCTATCACATAATGCGTCAAATCCATTTCCTCTACCGTCACGTCTACATTATAACTCGCAAGTTCAATAATCAAAGTGATAAGTTGCAATTACAGTACATGACCGAACTCGGAGGCAGTCGTAAGACACAATCTCACGTTTTTGCCTTGTTTTTTTGGGGGCAGATTACTGCATGTAGCATCTAAAATTCCTACATTAATGATGTTAAACATTAGGTATTACAGTGTGTCTGCTGCCAGTCATTCAGTTAATCTAAACACTACTTTTGACCTGTTCTTTACCACCTCCAGTCTGCATGATTTATTCACTCCAAGGACAAGTTGGTGTGTGGAGCCAGTGTCCAATGAGGCATTTTATTATTTAAATCCCGACTGCCCCCCCCCTTCCCTCCCTTCCTCCCTTCCTCCCTCTTCTCCCTCCCTCTCTCCCACTGTATGTATACTCCCATTTACACTGAACTTGGCAGCGGCCTGTTGTTTTTGCTGGAGAGGAAAAGAACAAGACAGCCCTGGTAAAAAAAATAAAAAATCTTTCGCAGACAAGATTCCCTCTCTCTCTCTCTCTCTCTCTCTCTCTCTCTCTCTCTCTCTCTCTCTCTCGCAAACTCCCGGGAGAGGTTGAGGAATGGAAGGTGCCAAGGCCTTCTCTTTCTGCAGAGAGGCTGTCTAAGAACAAGGCAAACATATGGGAGCTAATCCAGGGGTGAATGAGAGAGACAGAGAGCTCTTTAAAAATAGCCAGACAATAGTACAAATTGTTGGGCTGACGTGACTGTGGCACTGCATTTACTATTAAGTCACTGATTGAGCTGTAACCTCTGTAAGCTCACAACAACAAAACATTTCAGATTATTCAATAGTGTAGATCTGAAATGAATTCGCAAATCTGTGTGTTTATTAAATCCATTCAGAAATCGGGCAAACATGAGCAGAAACCCCCCACCCCAACCCGACATGTGACTAAAGAGTACGCCATGTTTTACTCACATTGCCAACCAATAACTGTGCCTCAATTCAAAAGATGCAATCCAACCTAACCCCTGGGCTGAGAGAGCAGCCACAGGAACTGAAGCGCCCATTTGGAATGACTGAGCAAATCGCTTTCAGAGCCAAAATGGAGTCCAATATCAAAATTGGCCAGACACTCAGGACCGGTGTACAGACTCAGATTAGGCTCCATCCCGGACAAACATGATTTTTCAATTGAAATTGACACTAAAAAAATAAGTAAAGTCAGGAATGACCATATTTTATGTCTGTTACATTGGCTTATTAAAGTACACTGTAATGCAACCCTGCTCAGTCAGACACATAGCAAGGAAAACCCCCTATTCCTTGCTATGGCTTGTTGAAGCATGCAGCTGTGGCTAGACCTCGCCACACACACACACACACACACACACACACACACACACACACACACACACACACACACACACACACACACACACACAAAAATACATAAACACACATAAACCTCATATTTGTCTGCATGACATCAGATCACACAAATCAAAATACCAGCGGCCTCCATAATAAAAGGTGAAATGATGTCTGAAGCGAGATGCCTATCAATTATGAGACATAAAAGTGAGCAACACTCCATTCCAGACAATTTATAGTACGGTTGTAAACGCAAACACATAACAGACTCTTGACGTGTCTCGCTTTAAGGTTAACCCCGGACTTTTAAGTTGAGTAGAGAGTTTTATGTTAAATCTGTTCCCGTCTCTTTCAACCTGCCACACAAGTGTTTTAAAATCCCCCTTGCAAATTCGACACCCAGTCAGGCCTCGAGTCATGAAAGTGTCAACTGTACAACACAGGGAAAGTTTGCTGATGCATGTCTCACACTGTGTAATTATACCTAAAAGCATGAGTCAAAGTGATTTTTACATTTTTACAAAGGAGGGGTATTTTTCTCTTTTTTTCTGTCAGCAGCAGCCTGCAGCCAAGGATTAGTGGTCAGCATTTGATGATGCAACGGCGTTACTGTGCTTTTGCAGTCAAGCAGAAAAGCCAATGCCATAGCTTTTTAGGCCCACACTAGCCTCTAACAAAGACACCTACACAGCACAGCACCGCTGCCTCTCAGGACTAACTGAGAGGAGACGAGCTGAAGCCAAGGGTGGGGAGCGGAAATGTCATGTATTAGTTATGAAATATAGGACCGTGCCCAACGCAGGTTGTGGCTTCAGCCCAAAACTAATCTTACTTCATGTCAGCCATAGCTGGCTGGAGGTGTGTGTGAAGAGAGTGTGTTAGGGTGTGCATGTGAGCACTCCAATATGTGAACATGCAGGCAGTCAGTGTGTCCTATACATCTATAGATATATATATCTATAGATATAGATATATAGATCTATATCTATAGATATATATATCTATAGATATATATATATCTATAGATATAGATATATATATCTATAGATCTATATCTATATATATATATCTATAGATATATATATATCTATAGATCTATATCTATATCTATATCTATATCTATAGATATATATATCTATATATATATCTATAGATCTATATCTAGATATATAGATATATATCTATATATATATATATATATATAGATATAATCTATATCTATAGATATATATCTATATATGCACAATCCGCTGATTTCTTTGCTTACATACTCTGTCTTTAGCTCGACCAAATGTGTCCATTTCCTGAGTCATTCCTGAGAGCAATTAGCAGTGCTGAGGAATTCAGCCCCTTACCAATAGCCAGCAGCACGACTGGAGGCCCTATTATCCTCATTCCCTATAGCGATGGTGAAGGAGAAGGGTGGGGGGTTACAGGGGCTTTTCAAAGCCAACTCATTACCTTAACATACTGTTTCTTTTTAAAAGAGGAGCCCACTAATGGCTAACCTCTACCTGTGCAGTAATTTTGACTGAAAGCAGGAGCCAAAAGTATTTGCTTACCAATTTATCTTTGCCTGAGACACAAAGTTAAATTTTTGTGCTGCCAGACAACTTTAAATCACTGGATCATGGCATTTCAGGGAAGACATGCGCGCTTTCCAAGACGCTACTTGACCACTTTCTGTCAGCGTACTTTATTAAAGTCTAATTTTGGACAAATAATGCATTGCACGGCCCACACACCAGCATCTTGCAAAACTCTTGCAAACAGCCTCTACAGCTCCACACGAGCGCTGAAAATGAACAATGAGCGCAAACGCTTGGGCCAAGGCACGCTCTCTCAATCTCTGGCCAAGGTCTCAGCGATCACTATTACCGTCTGCACTCAGTCAGGCTGTGTGTTGAGTTACAGCCTTTCGCAATCCTCTGAGGAAACCAGGGAATTTGGCACCATCGTTCCTCGAGGACAGGACAGTCCAAATATACAGCATCAACATTCCTCTAACCCCTCATTATATTTTCATTGGAGGGACAAGACACAGGAACGGGAAGGGAAGAGACGTCGTACTATTAGCTGTTGTTCTGATCATGCTGCGGCCACCTCTGGCCATTAAACTCAAGGGTGATTGCATGTGGGAGTAGAAGTGATTATCACAACAGAAAATATGATCTCTTTTCATTTCAGCTTTCATTTCTCGTTTGGGCTAAACAGCTGCCACAGATAGAAGGAACCTACCAAAATTCCTCTTGTGAAAATGAGTAAACCTTACCGAAGCAAGCCAACGCAATTATGAACATTTAATCTCACAATATTGTCAATGATTATAAACCCTCTGTAATGAGCATGCTTAATTTCCCCTCACAATTACAGTCTGGATGTCTCAGCGGTGAGCACGCTGGAGTACAGGGCATGCAGAGGTGATCTTTTGTTCATAATGAAATTACACAAGAGAACAGGAAGTTCAACTATTGCAGTTTATTGCAGACATCAGCCTAAGAATAAAGACTTCTCCAGGCAAATCGAAACACAAAGCACCTGCAGATATGCACAAGGCATGAGGACTGTGGCTGCCTTCATTCAAACATTACGATGTGATCGTTGGCTGGATTCCTGCTCGGCCTGCTTCATGCCATTCAAACAGTCACACATCTATATTCTGCATCTGGGTGGTCCTGGTTGAATTATTATAACGTTACTATTTTTCTCCGCATTGTAAGTCAGGATTAGACTTTGCATGGCACTGAGCTTTGGCTTGGCTCAGACATGGATTAAATGAATCAAAATACAAAATGCAAACAAAAGCCATTTCAAATGTATGGAGTTCATGTCTGTGACAAATCCAAGGCAAGTTATGTGCAATCCCTGACAATAAGATATTGGTCAACCAAGTCCAGAAAATCTGATTTAATGTCGCCTGTTGAAGTAATCACCATTATTGTGTAACGTGTGGTTGTCACTTTAATTCTCTATCATACTTTGTCCTCTTATATTTCCTCATCTGCCCCACGTCAAGCAGACGCTTGCTCTGATTAAACAAGCCTCACCGTCTGCACTGCACTATGTGTTCAATCCTGATTTTGCTCTTAAAGGCTGTGGGCTAAAGGTCAATGTTAAGGTTAAGGATAAGACTGGGGTGTTTTTGTGCAAATGGAAAAAAACTGGCTTCTAGATTCAGGAAATCTGGAAATCATAACCATGTAAAGGCCTTTCAAAAAAAAAAAGGAGCTTTTACTGTGCACTTTTCTTTAAAAAAAACAGTGGTTTTAATGTCTCTTCTCTCAGTTACACCTTTGGACATTTGGGTGTTTGCTTCCACAGAGTACGTCTAGTCTGTCCTGACACACTGTTTTTACAAACCATGTGGAAAGGCTTACAGGGACTACAATGTGATACTGATAATGTGATACGTACAGCAGTGAATAGCTGCTCCCCCAGCATTAGTATTAGTATCATTGAGCCGAGCTGTTGCATAGTTGGCTCGCTCGCCTGCAATGCGTCTGCTGTCTATTCAGTGTACTGGGGTGCAGCTTGGCAATTCCAGCTCTCCAGAGACGCACTGGAAGGCATTTCTACTTAAAATAAACCCTGTGCGCCCACGTCCAGCCTCTCAGCCCTGTCGGCCCTGCGCTGCTTGTCGGCTCGCCAGCCCTTCCCCATTAATCCACTGCAGCGTTCCATTTATGCAGAAACCATCCTACGGATGTGCCCGGGCAGGCGCTGGGGCATTTAAACCCTCTGCAACACACGCTTTCTCTCACTTAGACACACGCAAACACAGATAAGGACACAAAGGAAACACATATATAAAGAACATACAAATAGTTTCCCCAGCGTGGCATGTAGCTGTACAAGCAGGCACTGCATCAGCTGAGCAGCATGCGCTCTCTGTATAGGAAAACACTGAACCTATGAACTTGCAAGTCACAAACCCACACACGCACATGATTCCAGCCCTGTCCATCATACTTCCCATACCATGATTGGCCTTTAACCTTCAGGCCAACAGGGGCAGATAACTAAAGCTACCTCTGTTCTGGATAGAGTTACTGTTACGCAGTGAAGTGTAAATCTTTTCAAAGACCCTGATTGGAACGAGAGGATGATATTTACTGGCTCATCACAACAGCACAGGAAAACAAAGGATTGCTGTGGTGATTAAGGGGAAAACAAAGGATTGCTGTGGTGATTAAGGGGAAGTGTAATAAGTGTATGACTCTATAATGTGCTTTAAACAAGTGTAAGTGTGTTAAGACTGTAAGATTATCCAGAGCAGAAAAGGTAGAGTTAAAGATACCGAGTATGTGCACTATGATGTCCAAACCACAGATTACAAATACGAGCCCATCCAAGCACACATTCCTGGCTGTACTCACATGCTGCCAAATACACTTCACACTTCATCTACATCACCTACGTTTCAAGGTGAACTAGCTATGCCAAGAAAAGTTTTTATTTTTTATTTTAATTGAGTGCAGCAAAAGGTGATACTCCAGAGAGCAACCCTGTTTAATTCAATTAAAACAGTTTTTAATGCACAATACTTACTCAGAGAAAACTTGTCAGTCGTCTTCTGTCAATGATGCAACTGTGTTCGGACGCTGTAGAAAGGCAGATATTTATTACTGTTCATAGTAATAAGCTGAAAACGATGAGTCAATTGAAAATCAACCAAAAAAACCAACTGATTATAATCAACCAAAAGTGACAAACATTCTCCGGTTTCTATTTGATGTCACTGTAAATTAAATACTTTGGGGTTTTATCTGTCAAAACAAATTATTTGGAGACATCAACTTGGGCCTCTATAGTTTATAGACTGATTAATCAAAAAAATAATTAGTAGATACATTAATCAGAATCAGAATCAGGTTTATTGCCAAGTAAGGAACATTTGGGGGAATTTGCATTGGTACTTTGTTGCATAAGAATCCCAATCAACTGATCATTAAAATAACCACTTTTTTCAGTCTCCATCTATACCGGGAACTTTACCACAGTTATCTCACAGTCATTCTGCAAATCTGGTACTCTTATCTATCTTGCAGTTGCATGCAGAGAGTGTCACTTTTTCAAAGTAGTAGTAGTGAAAGTAGGTAGTGGAGTTTGAACACGACGGTGCCGGCCGATGTTTTAATGTTACAACAGTCTACACACACACACACACACACACACACACACACACACTGTTCGACTGTACAGCAGTAACCGCATTTAATTCCCATGTTTGTGTAACGTGAAGTCATAAACCTCCGCCTGCAGACTCTGTGCAGTTTGGTGCACCGGACTAGCTTCGCTGGCAGTTACTGTGAACCCCCCCCCCACCGACCAGCGTGTGGCGTGTATAGCGTTACATAACTGTCTTCACAAGGCTAACCGACACTTCTCCTGTTTAGCAACACTGAAATTAAGTCTCCAGAGATGAAAATACCTTCAGTCCGACACAAGCCGGTGTGCAATTTAGCTAACAGGTCTGTAAATAACGAGCTATAAAGCGACAGTTGCTACAACAGTGGTATCAACAACGTACAAATTGACTCCTGCGGTAAGAGCACGGAAAACTTACAAACTACTAAAAAAAAAAAAACTCAGACTTTTGTCTTTAGTTTTTTTTTTTTTTAACAGAAATTCATTTAAAATATCTACATGTATTGGAATTATCCGACACAAATAACAAATATGTTTCTATATGTAACAAACGAGAAATGTGTTGAGTCTCCAACGTGGTGAGAAAAGTGTTACTATATATATATATATATATATATATATATATATATATATATATATACACATATATAACTATATGTCAAGCCTGGTACTGACACAAATAAACAAAGAGGAGAAAACAATAACAATGTAGCTCGACGCTACACACACACACACACACACACACTTACCTGTTGTGCGTCCAAAAATCCGCAGTAATAATGTGTCGGTGCGGGTGTTGTGAGTCGGATGTAGGTCTTGGGACTAGCTGGAGTCGTTGCATCAGCCCGTTTAAGTACTGCTCTGGTCTGCGAGGCTCCGGAATGCGGAACTGCTCCCCCCAATACGTAAGCAGGGATGAAAATAATGAGAGGAGGGCTGAAGACAGAGGTTTGTTTGCTCCACCCCTAGCAACCAAAAACATACACACACACACACACAGACACACACACACACACACATACACACATACACAGGCTGGAGGAAAGTTTCAGCTGAGGGATAGATTAGAGATGGTAAATACTCACCTCAAGGCCCATAAACGAGTCAGTAAATGAAGTTATGGCTGTAAACATGTATAGGGTCTGTCTTGGCTGCAGGTGTTTTATTATTTGACTTGAGGATTGAGCTCCTTGCCAACACTAAACATTTTAAAAATAAATCGGTCCAATTGGCTGGGGTTATTTATACCCAAATAGGTGTGTCGAAGCCAAGTCTATAATAAAAGCATTAATGTCAGTAGGCGCAAGAGATTTTAGCACGTTTGGAGGGTTTATATTTAGGCTCTGCTCCCAAGCCTTAAACCTCTTAAACAAATCAGTGCCTCTTCATAAGTTATGTTACCTTAGTGTGGATATGAGACTAGTTCAGGTTAGGTTACTTTATTTGTATCTGTAGGTAGATTTGGTTTGCAAGGCATTCCTCTTGACAAAAACATCAAATAACCCAGACTGCTTTCAATTATTTAAGCAAAGGGAAGGATGTGGTTTAGTGCTTTATTGCGTTCAGACAATGTTAAATGACTGCGAAACCCAAAAATAAGTAAATCAGCCATTTAGGCTCTTACAGGGAATTGAGTGTGTCAACAGCGCACCGTGGTTCCTGACATCAAAAGACTATTTCAAATACTGTTATAAAACTTGCAGCCTACAAGTGACAAAAGTGAGCTAATTCAACACCTGTGTTGCTCCAAATCATATATTTTCTGTATAAATGTTTATGTGACGACATGTTTGCGGTCTTATTTTCTAATGAAGAGAAGAGGCATCACTTCCTGTTTAATACAGTGTTTCCTTTTGACTGCTGTTTTGATTATTTTTGCAAAAATGAAAGTATAAAGCTGAACAATCTTGTTTTGACAACTGTTATGTCACATTTTATTCGCTTTTACTTTCACCCATGTTGTTCTTCCTGTAACCCGAAGTCATTTGAGCCTTGAAGGTTGCATTCAGATGTATCCCAAGTGTGGCTATTATGCATATTTGTAAGACTGAAATAGACACCCAGTATTGCTTTGCTCAGATAAATCCACAGAGAGTTAAAATCATATTATTTCAGGTGGGCTAGAGGAAGTTTGACGCCTAAGTATTGGACACATAGCTTTGGTTAGTTGTTGTGAAATACAATTCTTTAAGCTCTCTTTAATAAAGAGGAAGCTTGATTCATAATGAATAACAGCTTAAACACACATGCACAACATCATGTCTGAGTATTTCTGACGGACCTTTAAGAAAATTCCAGAAAAAACTTCCAAATGCCTCTTCCTGCTGCTTCCCTCTAGTGTGGACAGCCGTAACTACACCCCACTGGACTGCTTCTATAACACTGATATGTGTCTGTTTAAAGCACATTATAGAGGCATGAAGTTACACTCTTAAAGGCCTGGAAACAACCTGTTGCAATATGATGCAGGATTGCTTTTCACTCTCGATCTTTAATTGTTATTTTAATGCAAAAAGTTGTGCATATATAAGCATTGTTTGGTTTTGATATAGACATAAACCTGAAACAAACATACACCTGTGGATTACTTTATAGCAAAGTCACAACTGAGCTGCAATATAATGTCCAAAGAGCTGTGTGTTTTAGTATAGTTTTAATCAAATAGAACTTTCTCATGTGCACCTTTGAGGTTTTTATTATCACCATTATCTGAGGCTCGGTTGGGTTTTACACGATGCCATCTCAACTGTTCCACCTAGAACAAGCAGCTGAGTTATTAGAGGCTCACTAAAATACCCTACTCTGTTCCTTTTTTTAGATTCTAATTTGGTTCTGCTGTGATTTATGTCTCGCATCTGAGGGGAGGTGGGGGGGGACTGTGCGTCACAGTCGCTCCTAACAGCGATGACAAATTTTCGGGGAGGCATTTGGGGTTAATAAAGCAGAACTGAACCAACAAGCAGACAAATTTCATAAAACTGGATGGTGCTGGACATCTTTTCGTTGAGACAGTTCGGAGGTTTCCCCTTTTTGCAGGTATAGACTTTCAGCTGAATTCCTCTGTGCCTGCAGGAAGGCAGCCAGAGATGTCACTCAGTACATGAACACACATGGTGCAGGACCATTTGGCACTTTAAGCCTTTAAGAGGGAACTGTCCATGCCAAGAACAATAAGCCTTGATAATGACGCTCTGAAAAAAACACACCAGTCTGAATATGCAGACCAAGTATGCGGAGCATGTTAATTTGTTCAACAAAAAAGTTAACAAAAGGTCTAAGTTGTGCTCTTGTAAGAAAACACAGAAAAGACTGCCGTTATAGGAACCTGGGGTCTGATTCAGGATGTGAAGGAAGTGATTAAAAGTACAGAATCATATTGCAACATACTGTACATGTTGAGATGTTTATTTTTTCTGCTCCAAACTTCCATAAAGTCGTTGCATTAAAACATAATCTTTTGTGCACTTTCTAACAGCTGCCCAAGTGATGAATGGAGAGGGAGTGCAGTTTGTGGTTGTGCAGCTTTGCCCAGCTCATACTGAGTTCCTGGTGTGTGGGCGTCAGAAGGTAAAAACAATGAAACTGCTCTTTGCACAGCAAGCATTTATATTTCTGTCTCTTTATTTACTTATTTTTAAACAGACATTTACACATGTATTCATAATCTTATTTGATCCTTCATACATTACATTCCTGGTGACTAGTTAAGTATACAAGTCAGTCATAATTTTCTCATTTTCTCATTCGATCTACCTGATTAAAATCTGTAGGTTAAGTTGTCGTAGTATTATCCAACACCACATCTTTAGGAAATACCCAGCAAACCAGACACATCCAGACATAATCCTGACTCATCATCCACTGCACTGCAGACACAATAGGCGACTTTATTTTTACCAATGCTCCATTTAATTTCCTTCCGTCCTTCCTTTTTTTTTTGCCTTTCAAAATAACCTCAGACATTAGTAAATCATGTCAAAACACGTCAAGGTATGTGTAAAGATGGACTATTTTTCAGTTAGGTTATTTAAAACTGTACGACAGATGTCCTACATTTTGCCATTTTGGTGTATTACCACAGAATGATATTTCCCATTTTCCAACAGCAGTGGTTTAGGAGCGAATGGAAACTGTGATTTTGTCATAGTTTATTCAGTGAACGCCAAATTCTTGCATGCACTATCCAGATCTATCTAATATTAACCTGCATAAAAAAAATACTGTGCATGATGAAAACAATCAGTGTCTTAACGGAAACATATATTATTTTTTACTACAATACATTTTCCTCCAGCACACTCCTGTGTATCCAACACACACACACACACACACACACACACACACACAGATAACACATAAGATACATGTCCTTCTTAATGGATTGAATTGTGATGCTGAAGCAGACTCCAATCAACTCCATTCATAGAAATCGAATCAATCACTTAATGCACCAATTGCGTGCTGGCGCTGATTTTAAACCCTCCCCCCTCTTCATCTTCATCTCCCTCTCACAAAAACAGGCTGTCAGCTATCATGCCAGCACCCCCCCCCCCCCACACTGCTCCTGTTTCCATTTGAGTAAAAGCTACCAGTGTTATTGATGCTGTGAGACATGGATTCACCATTTGATGTTCATCCATTGTATTGTGTAGCATTAAAGTCTATAAAAAGCAAATGCTTTTGTACAAAGAAATAAACCATTTGCAGTTTTATGCATGTCAGTGCTAATTTAATGAAACAGTAGTTATGAAAAAACATAATTTCAAAATAAATCAACACAAGATGTTTTTTCTACCCATTGTATTACTGAAGAACTCCAGTTGGAAACAAAAAAGAGTTCATGTACATATCAACACCATGTTTGGCACTGTTTTTCTCTCATAGTGTTACTCATGTCAGGTGATCCACTCTTCCCGAACTTGTATGACATTGATTTATCCCTGTAAATATAACACTTCCTTGGGAATATCACAGTAAGCAGGAAACAGAGTGGTCAGGAGGTGTATGAGGATGAGATAACAGAGGTGGAAACAGTGAGCACACAACAAATAATACAAAGATAGAGATCTGTAACCAGGCAATGTCAGACATATTGCAGAGTACTGGCGTTGGGAGTAATCTCATCCTGAAACACAACAAAAGGAACGCCCTTCAAACTTCTACATGTTTTGTACTTTATGTATTAGTCAGGTCACATCAATGCTTTACAACGCACAGTTCATATTAGATAAACTGTATATACACATAAACAACAACATAGGCTACAAACAAAAATCAAGCTCATAATTGTGCCGTCAGTCCATATTGATATATTGATTAAGTGTATGATATGTGTAGGTTGTCATATTACTGTTAATAGCTAAACTCTTATGGCTATTTCCTCATTTCAAAAGCAGTCAATGACTAATTAAAAACAAGCTCCACTTGCAAAGAGTAAAATGTACCTAACAGGGCTATTTCATGAGAGACAGTTTGACATGTCAGTGCAGGAAAAGCACAGGTCTGAATAATTAAATGAATGATGGCTGAATTCCATTTAACTGCTTCAGTTTCAGGGTCCTGGTATTGTTCATGCTTGTTTACTGACTAAGGTAAGACAGACTAATGTTAGGTCTTCAAACTTCATGAATAAATAATAGAGATAAAGGTGAAAGTTGTCCAGTGCAACCAAGAGGAGGGTGAAGTTTGAAGCTGCCCACGCAATCCTGAAAAGATCTTTAATCAGTCTAAGTAAGTAAGTATAGCTACTAGTTACTTTGCAAGTTAAGATTTTAAATGCAAAAAATATAATGAATTTATAAAAATACATATATTAATTTAATTACTAAAATAGATCAACTTCAACCAGCCACAATAATACATCAGTAATAATTATCCAACAGTATAATAA